TCTCTCTCTCTCTCTCTCTCAAACACACACTTAACAGTAGCTACTTGTTTGTCTGCTTGTTTGCATCTGCAATCCATCCGTGTATATGTATTGCACATGGGAAGAATGTTTTAGTTCCTCTCCTTTCTTGAACCTCTGAGAAAAGTGTACACCAACAAAAGTTTTTGTTAGCTGCCCTTTGGGATGGTATCAGTTTTGAGTTGGAATTGTAGGCTTTGCTTTTCGTTAATGCGTGGCCAATTAAAAATCTGGGCATTGAAATTGAATTTGAAAACATGTAGGTATGCTGGTTATATATGTGCACATAGATGTGGATGCTTCCTTGTATGATTGGATGTTCTGTGAACTTATATTTCTTGAATGCAACATGATAAATTCCCCTGGAACTAATTTGATATTAATCTTCACTTATGCCCTAGATTCCCATAAGCTTAGATTATAACATCTTTTAGAAGACCCATGGAATGTATCAATGGCAAAATATTTTCCAACATATGTTTTTGTGATGCGTAATTAAGGTTCTTTATGCATTTTGGACAATTGAGCAGGTGTATCACATATTCATATGGTAATCTTTCTTCCAAATTAACTATTTTATCCCTGTTAAGGATATCCTCAACATTCTTAATACCTTAATATAGCAATTAGATATCACTATTTTGTCTTGATTTTACCATGAAAACTGAATCTTGATCTGATATGTTTCAGAGTCGTGAAAAGCTTTCAAGTTTTATTATGTGGGCAATTTCTGCTGCTGTGGAAGTAGAGTCTGCGAAGATGCTTCAGCACAAAGAATCTCACCAATGTTTTGCTATTATTCCAGAGGAAGAGCTGCAAGAAAATTCTTTGATATCAAAACTTTTACGTTGGCTAACTGCGTCTGTAATTCTTGGGAAGCTTGATTGGAAATCAAATTATCTGGACCCAGAGTTTCCAAAAATGTTAAATATAAAAACTTTGCAGTCTATAATGGATCATGTTGAAAGTGCATGCAGAGAAAACAGCAAAAGCAGTTATGGTTGTGAGGAGATTTTAGCTTCTGCAATTCTCTACCTCCAACAGCTTGCTGGCACAAATTACGAACTGCTACCATCAGTCACAACTGCCCTTAGTCTTCTCCTTTCCGATGCCTCCATTTTTGCAGGTATCATGCTTTATTTGATTAGCTATGCATTTGGGTTTTGGAGTTTATTGTTTGGGTGTGAACATGAGGAGTTGGTTTAAAAACTGCTTTAGTTATTTCAAAAAAGTGGCATATCTTACTTCAGACCCTCAACAGTAACCATACAGGGAATTGAATAATGAATGTTCAACTGATCCCATGGCATACCCTCCCTGGATACAAATTCTGGAAAAGAATTGGTCCGATTATGATCATTATGAGTGTCTGCTGGTGAGACTTTAGATTGATTTTGCCTAATAATTTTGTGGGAGAGCCACCAGTTTTAACCAGATGCCTTGGGTCAAGGACAACAACTGTCTTTGTAATTAAGTTTTAATTTTTTATTTTAATGTTGAGTAAGAACAATTGAAACCACATAGACGGACTTCTAGTTGTGGTAGGCTTACATCAAGAATTAGCATACAGCTCGTAGTTTTATTGTATTTGCTCATGGATGAGCTCATCAATTGTGGGCTCAGAGCTATGATGTGTGTTTATGTGACTTTGCTCTAGGTTATGATAGAAAAAGAAAGAAATAAAGTGGTGAGCTGCTTTGTAATCTAGACGTATTAGTCAGGAAGGTGATATGATGTGTATGCTGTTGTATTAAATTGCTTCTATTACCATTATAAAAATAAAAAAAATAAAAAAAAACTCTCCCTTCCTCTCTCCCCAATATTTCCAAGACCATAAATCCTAACTCTACCTTTGAAAAAAGTTTTGAGATAGTTAAATGGTTCTATCACGCTGAACCATTTTCAGAACTGTAGTTTTACAGTGCACTGACGATCAAATGCATATGCACAAAAAATAGATTACACCTTTTACTTACAGCCCTCATGTAATCTGTTTCAGGGTTCTTACGTAATAATGGGAGTGTTGTGAAATCACTCTGGTCGAAGATAGGTTTCCCTGCTGAAGCTAATCCTGCTTGGAGATGGTAAGAGACAATGTTCTCCCACCCGTTTTTTTCTTTCCTCTTCAATCTTTGCACATGGTATTTGGCAGGGACTTGTTTACACACATTTACTTTTTCTACCAAAATTTCCTAATGGTTTATTGAGGTCACTGGGTTTGAAAAATTGACCAAAATAGATGCTCTGTTTAGACTTTTCCTGGACACCTTATGGTTATAATCAAGGTCTAAAATATCGAGGGTTTTGGAAATTTCGGGAGTCCAAATACATGGATATACGGATGGGAATATCGGGAAATTATCGATATCGGTAAAAATTGAATAAAAACCACGGAAATTGTAAGAAAACCTTGGAAATTTTGATTGAAACTTTAGAGGATGTTTATTTAGTCAATTTATCTATTACTTTATCACAAAAAAATTGGAAGGAAATGCATTGCATAGTGGGTTTGACTGATTTAAGTTCATTATATAACGAGCTGACAAATAATGTAACTTAAAAAATTGTTTAATATGCAAGTAATAAAATGGGTTTATATACTATTATGTAGGTCAAGAATAACAATAACAAATGTAAAGATAAATAACAATAATAAACTAGAGTGATTTATATGGTACGTGTATAAATTTAAAAAATTATATGTAAATATTAAGTAATAAAGGGGGTTATATGGTAAAAAGATTAACATATGTGTAAATTATGAAAATATATGCTAATTTTTATGATTGAGAGAGTCCATATGCTTTTCTGTAGTGAGTTGCTCTAAATACGTTAGAGATACTATAATGACAAGCAAATTGCAATAGAGCGGGTGGTTGAGAGATACAGGAATTGGTCACTAACCTGGGTTTAAAACCAGCTTATGTTCAATTTTATTTGTTTTCGTCTTTATTTCTGATTTGAATGAGTGGCGATAAATTGGTGATAATTTCGAAACTTCGAGATATATCGTCGATATATTGACCAATATAGCCTTGTGAAGGATGGAAAATATCTTCACGATATTTTTGCCGAAAATATCGCCAGAAATATCGAAATTTATACGATATATACATGGGATATTGCCAAAATATCGGAGCTTCAGAAAAAAGAAATTATCGCTGATATTTCGGCAATATTATCGAAATTTAAGACTATGGTTATAATCATCTTTTTGTTTACCAGGACAAGGCTCCCATGTTGGGAATCAAGTTTGATGATCACTAATAAGCTGACACTGTCAATTTGATAAATTGTCTGAAAGATTTTAAAAATGCAGTAACCCTTCACTAGCACATTTTAGGAATCCAGTCTGTCTGATATTTTGATGTTCTGCTAGCCTACTTGAATGCTGAGTACGTCATTTGTGCCCGGAAACCCTGATCAAAGCTAACTTGTTCTGGCCATACAATTTGTACAGGTCATTTTACCAGCCATGGAAGGATCTGACATTGGTACTAACTGGCTCACAAAAGATGGAGGAACTCCATGCCTGTCAATCTCTTTTAGTTATTATTTCAAATGTGCTTGGAAAAGGACCATCAGAATTGCAGGTTTCATCAACACAAGAAGTAGATAGATTGGGTGTATTTGAATGGGAAAGAAGTATTGCAGAGACTTAGTCATGCTAAGAAAAGGCTCAGACTTTTCTTGCTCAGGACCCCTGGACGCAGAACTTTGGGCTTGAGGCTTCCATAGAAAAAAGGGATGCAGATATTAATTTTTGAAGTTGACTCTGCCCTTACTATGAGTTTTGTTAAGGGTTTCTGTTCAATCCAATAACCCTTGGCATTATTTATGAATGTAGAAGCCTTTTGTATAGTAGTTGGAGTTGAATTGTTCCATGTCCGTAGAGAAAAATAACTTGGATGCTAATTTTTTGTACGAGAAAAACTCTAGTGCACTGGGTATATTACTCCTCTCTATCTCTCTCTCTCTCTCTCTCTCTCTCTCATGTGAGGTATCTTCACGATGGTCTCTTCTCAAAAGAATAAGAAGCCATTCAATCCTTGTTGGAATTTGTCTCCCTGGAAGGGGGGGGGGGGGGGGGGGGGGGGGGGGTGGGTTTCATGTAATTTCTATATAAAATGCCGGCTCTCCCTAGCTGTCCACAGAAGAGATGTTCCAAGTCCTTGTTTGGTTGTTACTCAAATAACCTCCTATGTTCCATGTGCTAAGTTCATGCTACACGACCTAGTTTTTCTTCTCAATATATTTTTTTTCAACAAACAACGCATTATTAAATCAAGTTCTACAACATGATTATTTGCAATGCAATAATCTAGTGTGCATATCAAGTGTCATGTAAGCTGAGAAAAGGAGAAAATAATTGCAATGATTTAACAAAATAATTGCAAAACTAAATGCAAAAAGAAAAACAGAAGTTGAAAAAAGACTTACTTATGAGAGTAAATTATGTATCTGTTCTACTTTTGATTGAAGTTGATTCACAATTCAACGAATATCCTTTATATAAATATTACGGGATAGCAAAACAATGTTATTCTTGTGATATACATATTCCTCTCAGGGTTTACAAACACGAAACACGCTATTGCAGTTAAAGTTTAGGTGGAAACATTTCACCCACTAGTACCACACTACTGCACCTACATACATTAGTTAAGCAATGCACCAAATGCCTTCATTAAGGAATGCACCTAAAGTCTTCTATGCGAAAGCCACATGTTCACAAACCTTTAATTTTTCTTTGTTAGATGGGAAATCACAAAAAACAGATGTAATATTTTATTTTCCAGATCCACCCTCCCCAAGCATGACCATAGAAGAAATATACAAAATTGTCTCCAATAAGACATGGGTAATTCAGTCATTCCACTATAACATTCCAAAAAGAGCCATAAACAGCGCCCCCCGGCTGAGGTACTACAAGATATCAACAACTTTCATAAAAATGATAGCAGACATAGAGGGAGACAACAATGGACCCGAAGCCGATAATCACTTTCCTTCTCTTAATCTCGGCAACCGTCATCGCAGCCCAAGAATACGTCCGGCCTCCGCCTCGCAAAGCCCTCCATTTTCCATGGAGCCGAAAACCCTCTTCTCTTCCCCAGCAGGTAGCTTAATCATCTTTACCTTCTCATCTTCTCACTCTACTGTTTCTTTCACTTTCTGGGTATGTCAAAACCATATCTTATGAAACCATGAATCTTTTGCTCCATTTTAAGTTGGGTTCTGTTTGTTTTGCCAGAAAATACTTTCCTTTCTGTCTAATCTTTCTTTTATTTATTTATTTATATTTTGTTTAGTATGTTGTGTAGCTTGATTTTGATCTTGTATGGAATAATGGGCCATGTGAACAAGCTTGTTTTACAGAAAAGAGAAGTTCCAAAAGTTTGTTGTTATTTAAACTCTAAGTATAATGCTAGTGTAAGCTTAACAGAGCAGGGGTGGAAATTGACCTAAATGGAGATGGTGGCTCAAAGAAACATGCTTCCGATGAACAGTTGCGGCTTGAATCATAATTGGATGTGTGCCTTCTGTTAAAAAGCAAATCTATCCTAGGTTTTCTGCTGATGTATATATAAGATTTGTTGCTTGTGATAAGTTTTATAGCGTCCCTCCTTGAATCTCAACAAATCCTTAATTATTGGAAATGATCAATTGTTGTGCATCGGAGTGAAAGTTAGATTTCTGGATGTTATGACTGCATAGTGAACATGATTATCATTAATTGTGACTTAATCTGTGTTGATTTGTGCCCGGGGCAAGTATCTTTCATGGCCATTCGGCTTTGTTTGATATTTTCTCATTATTGCTTCCAAATTTATGAAGATTTTCAGGTTTTAAACCGTTTTATTTATGGTAGTCATTTACTATAATATATACTTTGCTGCACAAATTCCTATTGCAGGTGCACATCTCTTTAGCAGGGGACAAGCACATGCGAGTGACTTGGATCACTAATGATAAATCTGCTCCGTCAATTGTTGAATATGGAACATCGTCAGGGAAGTACAGTTCTGTAGCTCAAGGAGAAAGTACCTCTTATAGTTATCTGCTCTATAGATCAGGAAAGATACACCATACTGTCATTGGCCCTCTTGAACATGGCACCGTTTACTTTTATCAATGTGGAGGACAAGGTCCTGAGTTTCAGTTCAAGACCCCTCCAGCTCAATTTCCAATTACTTTCGCCGTGGCTGGAGATATGGGACAAACTGGATGGACAAAGTCAACCCTAGACCACATTGAACAGTGCAAATATGATGTGCATCTGCTTCCTGGAGATCTTTCATATGCTGATTACATGCAGTCCCGATGGGATACATTTGGTGAGCTGGTGCAGCCACTGGCAAGTGTAAGGCCATGGATGGTAACCCAAGGGAACCATGAAAAGGAGAATATACCATTGTTAAAAGATGGGTTTGCATCCTATAATTCCCGATGGAAAATGCCATATGAAGAGAGTGGATCAAGTTCGAATCTTTACTATTCCTTTGAAGTTGCAGGTGTTCATGCTATCATGCTCGGTTCATATACTGATTACGATGAGTATTCAGATCAATACAGGTGGTTGAAGGTTAGTTAATTTTCTCTTCTCTTGTCAGAAGGAATATTGCTTTTGCTTCTACATTAAATTATATATTATATTTGTTTGTAAAAGGACACTTAGAGGTAGATCTATGACGGTCATATATTGTCATTCTTGTGAAACAGGCTGATCTTTCAAAGGTAGACCGTCAGAAGACACCTTGGCTGGTTGTTCTCTTTCATGTTCCCTGGTACAATAGTAACAAGGCTCATCAAGGTGAAGGGGACAGCATGATGGCAGCAATGGAGCCATTACTGTATGCTGCCAGTGTGGATATAGTGCTCGCTGGTCATGTTCATGCTTATGAACGCACGGTATAGCTATGCTAATTCAGCATATATTTGTTTAGTATAAATTTGGGGCTTTCAGTTTTTAATTCACGTTAGCCCATTTGACAGAAACGTGTGAACAGTGGAAAATCAGATACATGCGGCGCTGTCCACATAACCATTGGTGATGGAGGAAACAGAGAAGGTTTAGCTCACAAGTATGTTGTTGTGCTCAAAATTTTCAATATAGGAAAATAGAATATTTGTTTTCTCATGTGATTGGCAATACAATCCTGAAATTCGGTTCGCATTGGCAGGTATATAAACCCATCTCCTGAGTGGTCAGTTTTCCGGGAAGCAAGTTTTGGTCATGGGGAGCTCAAGATAGTGAATTCGACCCATGCCTTTTGGACCTGGCATAGGAATGATGATGATGAGCCTGTAAGGTCTGATCAGGTCTGGATAACCTCATTGGTCAGTTCTGGATGTGTTGCTCAGAAGAGACATGAACTAAGGAGTATACTTGTGGCGCCATAGAACTTGTCATGCATGTGATGGCTTCACCTGATTTTGTCAAATCAGGGGTTTTTATGTATAAGATGAAATCATCTACCAACTGGTTGATGTGCAAATAGAATCCAATCATTGCTGCTTGAATTGGTAGAACACGGTAGGTCCACGATGTGCTAATTGAGTTCTCTCAACTGGTTGATGTGTCTGGAAAACTGGTTTTTTAATCTGTTTGAATGTGCAAGAACTTCAGTATATTGTTGAACTGTGTATAGTATATGTGGTAAGATTCTCCCTTTATTTTTGTCTAATGTAACATATATAGTTCGCCCTTTATGTTCTTGGCAGTATGTCTTTCTGGCTATACATTCAGGATGTCTTTCTGGCTATACATTCAGGATCGAAGGATTAGATCATACAGAACTCTGGTTAAAAGTTCCTGGCCCCAATGGCTACTGAATGTTTCTTTTAACCATATTGGCACATCTGTGGTGTGGCATGGTCAGCCCCAGTTTTATTTCTGAAAGTTTCCCAAATATCTTAAAAACAATTCTCTTCTTTTTGGTTCTAAAACAATTCCATGGTGCAATACGAAGTATATATCTGAACAAACAAATATACAAAGATCATTTCCAGAAAAAGAAAAGGAAAAAAAAACCATAGGGGCATGGTGAGGTGAGGCCTCAAGAATTGCTTTAAAAAAATGTAAGGCAACAATTCAAAACTACTTAAAAAAGCAAAATTCACAAAAGCAATCATTTTTGAGTTTATTCAAAAAAGAATACATTCACATTAGATTACAAAGGTGTCACACGCATGCGCAAAGAGATTACAATTGAAACTTGAATATTAACAAGAACCAAAAGGTGGGAAATTTTGGTCTCCCAAGTGCCTTCTGAAATTCTTCTCTCATTTTAATGCAGCATAATGGGCGTGTACATTAAGAACGTCCTCATGAGATCTGTTAGATATGAAATGGCACTGCCTCATTTGATTTTACCAACTTCTTCAGTCTACTGGCAACACATGCAGAGAACGTAACATGGTATCATTCCTACCACATATCTAAGCGCACCCGATCATCTTCGATAGAGTTCCTCTTTTGTAGCTTGCTGGGTGTTGGAGAAGACTAATTAAACCATTGGCAGTAAGACTATGACCTGAATTGGTGAGCACCAGACCTGTGTGAATTGGATGAGATGAGTGATTAGCGGTCTGCAAGAGCTAACTGATATGCCAATGCTATATTTGACAAGCTACACTACCAAAATACTACATTTGGAACTTTACCTTCCAATGTTGTGTGCCAAAGAAAACATTTGATTTCCAACTACTGTTACTTTTTCCACCGCAATTTCTCCTCCTAGTTACAATGTTCCTATATTATCCACCAAACCATCATCCAACTATCAATTCCTTTGGCTATATTTTATTTTTCTTTGAGTAATATAGTACTATCACTTGAAGAAGCTGCAGGTGAATTAAAGTTTAGATATTAAAACTAAAAAAAGCAAATAGGAATAAAACAGAAAAGTCAGATTGTCTATTTCAGTTGTTTCATCTTGTTGCCTACTTTTTGAGGCCACCCGAAATTTGTTGCAGCTCCTCATAGTTGTACTTTAACAAGATGTAAAAACTCTTGATCTCTCATTGTCTTGTATGTAACTCTTGAATGCCTAAAAGTTCTGTCTGCTTCTACAAAAATGACCAGAAATGTTTATATATATATATAAAAAAAGTAGGTATACGACGTACAAACTGATTAAAAAATTATTTAAGTTTTCAAAAATTTGATCTTGGATGATCCTCAACCAATTGTTGCAGATTACTATATATATCTTAATTAGTTCCGAATGCATTCCCAAATTTTCCTTATTGTTTATTGTCTTCTCCTTTCCTAATCTGTGATGAGAATACGCACTGAGAAAGATGAGAGAACAGAAAAATTGAAAAATTGACAACAAACAATGGATGAAAGCTCTAAAGTTCATGGATTCTTTCTTCATCTAATTAGTGGCTATATGGTAGAGCCAAACACGCACGAAAGTCTAAACCCACAAAACTTTTGCCCAAACCACACACAAAAGGTGTTATGAATCCATAACACTAACACCTTGTACCATACAACCATCAATATGGTAGAAGGACCTGGGTCATTCTACCATGCAAGTGGGGTATTCCATGTCAGTGTAAAATTGTCTATGGATTCATAAAACTTTTGTGTGTGCTGTGCATAAAAGCATAGACATTTATAACACCAACAATGCTAGGAAGACCACACGTTAATACCACACGATGTGACAAGTGATGTACAGCTCATGTCAATTAATTTATCCCTTCGGTTGTCATTTAATTTATTCTTAATTTTTAAATTGAATTTTTAATCCATTTCTAGGTTCTTCAAGCGAACATAATGAGCCTAAAGATATAGCGGTAGTTCAGTGGTGAAGGAAAACAAGAGTTGTAACTAAATGCAAGAGGAATGGAGGTTGACAAGAGAATAGTAATTGGAATACTTTTTTTGTATTTGGCATACAACATTTTAACGCACTGTGTCACAAACAAAATTTTGACATAAAAACTTTCCAGATATAGCATTGGCATTTGTATTTGAGAATTTTTCTTTTAGAATTGAGTACCAAACCTGACCACACTTAAGCATCTGCAAACTTTTCACTTCTATCCCTGCACTTGGAGTCTTCTTCTTGATCTCTCTTTCCCCTCCAGAGTACAATCTGCTCATCCTTGAACAAAAGAGGGATGCAAGGTACCAGATCCTGAATATATAGAATACACAAGGGGATAGATCACTTAAGGGAGCAACTCGAGATAGATGCAGAAAACAAGAAGCATAAGAACGGAATAGAGACCCACAACTACCACCTAAACAGAAAGAAAACTCCAATTCAACCCAATACAAGTCCTACCCTTAATTTCACGCCTGTCCTTTTGCAATCACTGGTACCAACATGTGTGCAGTCTAGTCTCACTACCTCCTCAGTCTTGAAAGCCTCCCTGACTCTATCCACAACATTCACATACACACCATTTCTAGCTGCAGGGAATAACATCAAACAATAAAAAAGCAAGCTAACAGAAGGGAACCATAAATTGTTTCCATATCCCGTTTACTTATAAACAACAAAGAAAAGCAAAGCGTCATCTGAAACTTCCCAAAAATCAAATTCACTTCTTTAAGTTTCCTTCTTTTTTGATAAGACACTTACTAAGTTTCATAACAGGTGGGGAATTTAGTCCTCTGTTTCTTAATTCCTTCGTTTCTTCAAATGTCAAGCCATCAGCAACATTCTTCACAAGCTTGGGATATATCGGAGTGTACGGTTTCCAGAGCATTACAGGTATTACAGGTCGATTCTTCGGATCATAGTTTCGACCCCGGTATAAAATAAGGACATTAATGTGCTGGTAGACAATCTTCCCACCAGATTTGTCCTGCACAGACACTAGTATCTCCATGAGCTAATAATTTCCGAACACCAAAAATCAAAACCAAATCCAGATAAATGGAGCTGACTGAGTTAAGTTCAAACCTCAAGGTGGAAGCAAACATTGTCCATGTCAAGAGTTGGCACTCCCAAACACTTGATCCTCACAGCTTCTGCCCGCTTCCAATGGTTGTGGATATCATCTAACATGTTATGAGTAACTCCTCCCTTTCCTGATACAAAATTAAATCATTTAGTCCCTCATAAAAATGACTGCAAAACCAAACCAACTTCCAAGCCTAAAACATATATAAAGAACTGCATATAATAGAATACAATGCAATACATAGTTAATCTCAGGGTAGAACCCTAAATCCTAACCCCTTACCCATGTTGATTTGCCGAGCACAATCACTATGACGGTACCGTTCCACCAGCTTAGCCACTTCCTCCTCCGTTAGTGGGTCTCCAAGAACCCGTTTCCTCTCCTCCGCGACCCGGTTCAAGTCCACTTCTTGTTGGGTCAGGGCAACAGTGCCGGTCCATTTCCTATCAAGCCGACCTGGCCCAAAAGGAGAGAACTTGGGCGACTCCCGGAACGCAATAGGTTCGACTTTCGGGTTTGTTTCTGAGTACGAGTAGCTGAAGTCGAAGGGTAGGTCCGATTTGAGAGGCCGGGTCGGTTCATTCTTCGTATCTGGATCTTTATTCTGTGTCTTGTTCTTCTTGGGCTTCGGGGGTTTGGAAACTGGAGAGAAAGGAGGGTCGTCTTCGTATTGGTCTTCGGAGAGAGAATGGCTGAGAAAGCGAGAGAGGGAGATAAAGGGTTTGGCCGGGTCTAGGGTTAGGGTATTGTGAGGTGAGGAACGCCATGGCAGTAGCTTAAGCATTGCAACAGAGAGTTGAAGTTAAGAGTGAACCGATGAAAAACTGTACTGCGGGTTGAAAATGAAGGGGCAATATCGTAAACAAAGCACAAAACACATAACCTCATGTAGGCAGTAACATTAAGAGCAACTCCACCCATTTGCTCTTTGTCATAACAAGGGGGGCTAGGGCAGCCACTATTCATGTGAATAGTGATTGTCCTTGCAAAAAGCAATGTTCGTTTCCACCCGTTACCATGGCGAAATGCAATTACTATTCATTTTTTTGTTTTTTTCACAATTTTTTTTACCTCAATAATTAATTTGGATAATATTTTCGGATAAGATTTTTAAGTTCCTATATGTCAATACTATTCATATCTCATAATCAGATAAAATTTTCAATTTCAAATTTCAGATAAATTTTAAAAAAAATTGGCTGGTATTTATAGAAAAAAAATTCATTAATTTTTGGGTATTTTTAAAAAAAAATTCCGAATTTTTTTTAGTATTTTATTGTAAAAAAATTGGTTGTCGTTGGATTGGAGGAAAAAATCCGATCGGAGAGCCCAAACGACGCCACGTGGCAACAACAAAAAAATCAAATAAGTGGGCTAACGCCAGCTTGGCGTCAGCAATGACATCAGCCCCAAACTCGGGCTCGCACTCGAGCTAAACTCCCCCTCGGGCCAGCCCAAGCTCGTGGCCCCCACCTCCTGCCCGGGCAAGCCTTCTTTGTAGGAATTGGGTTTTTTGCTTTGCCACGTTGGAGTTGCTCTAACAAAACACATAACTTCATTCAAATCTCCACAAACAAAGCACAAATTAAACAAAATACAAGTATCCATAAACAAAGCACAAATAAAACCTTGAGCTGCGTAAGAAACCCACCCAACCAAATGAATCTGATATGGCGACAGCGATGGGTGCGACGGAGATTGCTGGTGGGTTTTCTTCCTTCTTCCTTCTACCTTCTTCTTCTTTGGGTTAATTACAGTTTGGTACCCTGTGGTTACACCTTAAGACATATTAGTCCATATTTTCTCAATTTTTACAATTAGATACCCAATCTTTTAAATTTGTTACAATGTGCTTCCATTGTTAGGATTTCTGTCAGATTCCTCTGTTTGCCTACGTGGCACTGTAGGTCCCACATTTTTAATTTAAAATTGATTAAAATATTTGTTTTGACAAAAAAATTGCTAAAAAAGAGAAAAAAAATCCTCCCAAACCAGAGCTCTCGCGATTTTCTTCTTCCCCCATTCACCGATGACCACCACCCGCACCTAAACCAACCTAAAACCCCAGCCCGCAACCACAGACCCCCTCCCCTTCCACCCGATTTCTTCTCCCCCCTGCCCGACTCCAAACTCCAGTCCCTACTAGAGGTGTCAAACGGGCAATGTTGGGCCGGGCCATCCCATTTAAACTCATGCTTTTAACATTTTCGTGCCGTGCCGGCCCATTTAGTAAAATCTTTGATCCCGGCCCGGCCCAAAACCCATGTCCACATTGAAACGGGCCGTGCTCGTGCTCGTGCCATACTTGGGCCCAAGAACTAACCAATTTAATTTGAAGTTTTTTCATTTGATAATTCAAATTATAAACATTAAAAATATAATTAGAGGCAATAAATGATGAATTACTTGAAAACATTAATCAATCAAACATCCAAACAATATAAAAGGCGGAGGGCAAAAAGTGTACAACTCCACAAAGTCCACTTCAACTTTTCATCTTTAAACAATTTATTATTTTATATGTGTAGAAATGTCTTGCTTTGATTATAATAGAAGCGTATATGTCATATGTACTGATTAGATATCAAGTCCAATGTTGTTAAATTAATTTATAGTTGATATGTTTAATTAATTAAGCATCCAAGAAATTTCCCTAAAATGAAAGACATCAAATATATGTTTATGATTATAAAAAATTAAAAAACCATATAAACAATGATATTAGATGTCAAAATTTTGCATTTTGACATTTGAGAAAAAAAAGAGTTAAGTGGGCCGTGCTTGAAGCGGGCTTGGGCCAAGCTTGGCTGATGTCGGGCCGTGGGCCTGCCCAATCTATTGGACCTCATTTTTTATCCTGGCCCGGCCCAAGTTTTCGTACCATGCTGAGCACGGGCCATTACTATTCGTGCTTGTGCCGTGCCATACCTCATTTAAACGAGTTGGGCTCGTGCGTACTGGGCTGGCACGTCCCATTTGACACCTCTAGTCCCCACCCACAAAAAACCAACGATTTTTTTTGCAAAACTGGGAAATTTACCAAAACTGCAAAAGTCTCAAACTTTGAGAACAGAAAACTTGTTGCCTTTTGTTTTCTATCCATCAGTTCATGATCTACCAAACAAGGGAGAAGACACAAGCCAACCCAAAATTCTCATAACCACATTCAACACCCAAATTCAAAAACCAACGAATTTTTTTATTTTTATTTTTTTCCAATTTGTTGGTTTTTTAATTTGTACAGAGAGAGAGAGAGGGAGAGAGCGGAGAGGAGAGAGAAAGAGATGCAGACCGTCAAATCTCGCCGGAAAGCGTCGGCAACGGCGGGAACAAGCTCTGAAGGATGGAGAGAGTGGTCGCCAAGCTGTGGTTGGTAGGTGGGGATTGGAGTTTAGGGTCGGGGCAGGGGGAGAAGAAATCGGGGGGGGGGTAGGGGGAGGGAGTCTGGGTGGTTGCCGGCTGGGGTCCTGGGTTCGTTTGGAGGTGGGGGTTTTGGAGGATGGCTGCGAGTGGTCATGGTGGAATGAAGGGTAGAAGAAAATCGCAGCGGTTTGGGAGGATTATTTTTTTCTGCAAATTTTTTTTTTTTGAAAACAGAAAAAATATTTTAATTATTTTAAAATTAACAAAAAATGAAAAATATGGGACTCATAATTCTACGTGGGCAACTAACAGAAAAATTTGATAGAAACCCTAACAGCAGAACCACATTAACAAATTTAAAAAATTTGGTATCTAATTGTAAAAATTGAAAAGATAAGAATTAACATATCTTAAGATTGTAAACACAGTGTACCAAACTATAATTAACCCTTCTTCTTTTTTTGTTGCCGTCTGAATCGCCCAAAAGAACTATAGCCTCTTGACAGAGACAAGGTCTTTAAAAATCTAAGTTTTAAGTTTACATTTTAACTCCAAATATTCAATAACTTTCAAAATCACCCCCGAAATTTCAAAATATTTTCGTTTTTATCCCTTAACATATCATGGAGTATCGGAGCCATATCGTAAAGTCAACATGCCAGAAAAATTTGGAATATCGAATACGTATCAATGCCATATTGGATACCAGTGGCGGAGCCACTCCTAGACCTGGAGTGGCCCTAGTGCCCCCATATTTTTATCACTCCTCTATTATATTATATATAATATATAGAATTTGTAATAAACAACTTAGAATTTAAGTTAAAATGTCATCTAAAACAAATTAGATATGACTTAATTAGAAATATTTAGCTCTAAACATGTAAATATTGAATATTTAGGTGTTTTAGTTACTTATATTTTCAATTTCGGCCCCTCAAACTTTACAATTCTAGCTCCGCCCTTGTTGGATACCCACATACCCCCAAAATATGGTGTATCAGTGCAATAGAGTCTCATATGTATGGTGTATCAGTGCAACAGAGTCTAATACATTGCTGATCAATCTAGCATAAAAAACGAGAGAGAGAAAAAAAAAAAAAAAAAAAAAAAAAAAAAAAAAAAAAAAGACAAAAAAAAAATGTGTTGTTTGTTGTTATTCATGAAGCATGGCTTACACAAACAATTTCTTTGAAACACGAACCCAGCACCTACAATGGGGCAATACTGCTACCACTTTTCAAAAATCAACCTGAGTTTCAGTGACCACTGACCACATCAATCAAAATGTAATGGTGTACATTTGAATATGGCTTTCATCACTAGGTTTCCAGATGATGTCAAAATTGTGTAAAGTGAGAAATTGAGCACAAGACTCACTCACCCAGACGGGGAGACGTTGCTTAATCTCTCCTTTTTACATCGCTTCTGGTCCTCAACCATAGACTCAAAAACATCCAAGAGATTGTCCAGGCCCTCAGGACTGTCCCCTACTGCCTGCAGTGCATATACAATGCTTTCAATGGTGGACAGAAATCCCAGCTTTGGCTGAAGCCTCACTTCATCGTACAAGCTCATCTTGTCCAATTCCAACTTCAAGTGTGGCAAGAGTTTCAGCCAGGGATTTTCCACATACATTCTCTTTGCCTTTGACCATGTTCCGTCCAAAACAATCAAATTCTTCACCTTTTGATTCATAGCCTCAAGGTCACTGACACTAACTGCTTCTTCAGATGGAAATAAGAGTACAGATCCAGGAGGAACCTCCATTTCAAACTCTACATATTCATTCAACTCCTCACTTCCGTTCAATGGCTGCTTTTGCAACTTTTGTACAACAAACCCCTCTGCCAGAGCATCACGCGCATTGTCTAAAATCGTATCGAAATTTGGATTCTTACAGTGGCCTTCTGCCATCCAAATATGGGAAAGACAGCTAATGACACCATACTTGCCAATGGTAGCAGCTATAACAGGCACATCGTTACCAGTTTGGATACCTTCAACTGAATCAAAACCTTCGTTGGAAAGCTTGGATACTGCATCCAATGTGGTAGCAGTTGAAACCTCATCAGCATTGTCTTGTCCATCTAAGTGCTTATCATCAGTGAACTCATGTTCTTGCCCTACAACTAATACATCACTGGTTGATAAGCCAGAATTGCTTACAAAATATACACCTCCTAATTGGTTTTGAGCCTCACCCCCAAATTTGCATTTCTCATCACTTTCAATCAAACTACTAATATTTTTCTCTTTTGGGAAATTTGCAGATAACCCAAATTCTGACTCTCCCACATTTTCCTTCCCTGAACTGACCTCATCACAATACTTAAAAACCAGCTTCTGGGTCTCTCTACTTTCCACAACTTGATCAAAACCTGAACTTTCTGAACCATTTCGGTCAGGACCCGTTTGAGAATACGGGTCCAGCGACCGGATAACGAACCGGGCTTCAAAATTTACGTCACAAACGGTAACTACGTTGAGATTCTTGAGGCCCAATCTGGCAATCCTAGTGGAATTAAGCGGGTGGTTCTTCTCTAGGCTGTGTTGAAGAATGGTCACACTTACAGAGTTATGGAGCCCCGGGGTCTGAATCCGAGTGCAGAGGCAGAGCCGGATGGGTTTGGAGCACGATGGGCAAATGGGTCTCTTGGAAGTAGCCTGGGTAGCCACCATTTTTAGGGTTTGAGGAAGAAAGAAGGGCTTTCGGAGAAGTGTGCAGAAATGGTTGTTTCGGGTCCAGGAACCGAACCGGCATCTATGTGTTCTAGCAGCCATAGTAGAAAAACAAAAGAAAAGAATCAGTGATAAGACGACGGGTAGCTAAATATGGAGAACGACACGTCGTTTAATGAGTCTCTACGGTTGGTTTGACAAATTTAAAAAAAAAATACAAATAATAGTTTAAATTATTCTAAGTTAATTTATTTTTAAAAATATATTCTTCTTTTTTATTTTTATATTTTTTTTATATTTTATTAAAGTGAGATAACTTCATTGAAACAACAATGTCATAGTACAAAAAGAAATTGGATTTTAGTAATGTAACAAGTGTGACCTCATTAAAACCTTGCCTTTTAAAAACTCCCAAATAGAGGAAAAACCGGTCAAGGAAAAAGAGTACCACTACATCACATCCAGTATAAAATTAAATTAAGAAAATAATTTGTCATTGGCCAAAACATCAGAAATCCATAAAGGACCATTCTCTAACCACACTTGAAAGTCGAGCGCCTGCTCAGCCAAAAGATTAGCAATTTGGTTACACTCCCGAGGAGCAAAATGACAAGAAATATGAACAAAATGATTAAAATGGCCCCTGACTTAATCTACTAAAGCACCCTCCATTGACCCGCTTTGCTCATAAGTTTGAAGATTCATAATAATCTCTTTAGCATCTATTTCCAAAATGACATAAGGATGCCCCATTTGACTTGCAATCTGTAATCCCAAAATTGCCTCATAAAGTTCAGTAGCTTTAGGAGAAAATGTGCCATGAAGACCTTTATAGGCAACCAGCATTAAATCACCCATACTATCCCGTATTACAACCCCTAAACCTCTAAAGCCAAATAGCAAATTGACAGCACCATCAACATTTATCTTCACAAAATTACCAATATGTGGAGACCAATGCCGCACAATATTAGTTGCTGGAACATGAGAAGACATAAAATAATAGCCCGTTGATATTCCAAAACAAGCTTCCGGGTACGACCCAAAAGACAAAGATGTGAAATATTTCGGCTAGAATATAAAGATCATTACGAGAGCTCCATAATCCCCAACTCAGAAAAACAAATAAGACTAGCTCGTCATTAGTCAAAACCGAGGAAGCATATCGATATAACTCCTTAAAAGTACCAAGCTGTAGGGGGACAGTCAAGTCATGAATAGTTGAATGTTGCCAAACCTCCATTGACATTCGCCAAATTAGCCTATCTGAAGAGTTTGGTACCAAAGGAATTGACAGAATAGCAGCAACCTCTTCTTTCCAGAAGACTGCAGAAAGTAAGTCTAAATTCCGCTAGCCAACTGAATCTATTAAGAAGTGAACAGTAGCATCATCCTCAAAAAATGGAGGCGAAGAAGGCCGAAAAGAGGACGGCAGAGGCAACCAAGGGTCTCAATTAATTTTAATTGATAAACCATCTCTTACTCTCCAACGAAGACCAGCAGCCAACAATTCCCAACCCCAAATTAAAGATCTCCAAATAATTGAAGGAGAATTCCCCAATGGAGCATTCAAAAAATCACCATTAGGAAAATACCTTCCACGATACACCTGCCCCACAAAAGAATTTGCGTTGATGAGAAGCCTCCAACCTTAACAAAGCCCAAGCATCTGGAGTTTGCTCCAAAAATAATGAATTGTCATATGCATATAATAAATGTGTAATGGGGGCACAGACACCAATTAAACTTCCATTCCTCTCAGCAAAACGGAGCCAGCCAGAAAAACCTTCTGCACAAAACAAGAAAAGACAAGGGGATAATGGACAACCCTGATGTAAACCCCGCTGTGAACTGAAGTGACCAAAAGAATTTCCATGCCACAACACCGAAAAGGAAACAGTCGAAAGACAATCCATTGTTGTACCCATTCCTGTGCAAATCACAAACGCAGCATTCTCAATATAACACCACTCCACCCTGTCATAAGCCATATCCAGCTTAATGGCCAAAGCTCCCTACTTACCATTTTTCCTCCTTTTGACACTATGCATAATTTCAAAACCCACCATGACATTGTCAAGAATATTCCTTGATGGTACAAAAGCGAAAAAAAAACTTGCATGTGAGGGAGATAACACTATTTTGTTATCTCAATCAATTATGTTCTCCACATATAATAAAGAATTTTATATGGCATAACGTGATTGGATGAGATAACAAAACAGTACTTTCCAATGACATACAAATTTTTTTGGGAGTTTCACTAAAACACCCAAAATGGGGGTTGAAATTATAAAAAAACCCAAGCACTATTTAAACATATAAACACACCCAAAACTCATCATTACACACACTCAAAATCCATTTATAAATACACCCAAAAAGTTGACTTTGGGGTTGATTTTGGGTGTGTTTCTATGTTTAAATAGTGCTTGGATTTTTTATAAATACATGTCTAGAATTGAGTTTATTTATAAATTTGTAAATTTTTTTTCTATGATATCTCTTCTCCTTCCTAACTTGAGGATAAAGCAAAATAAAAAAATAAAATCCAACTTGAATGCGATGAGACTCATCACATGGCATATCCAACTGCTTTAATTTGATACAGAAAATGTCCTCAGTCAATGGCTTATCTTGAAATAAACAAAAACAAACTGTGGAGTTGGTATGATTGGCCACATTAGCCTTTTGACCAACTGTCTTCCACGCGCCAATATTTGGTAGTTTATGACATTTCAGACAAAAAAAAAAAAAAAAAAAAAAAAAAAAACAAAAAAAAAAACTTTCTTTTTTTAATTTTTTTGTTTCTTCTATTTGTGAGGGAAAAACTGGTGTGATTTTCCCGAGAATCTGATTTATCCGAGAAACCCAGTTGGAGAAAATGCACGATTTCTGCTTCACGATCCCGTACGGGTTGCTGCTGATCGGTGGAGGATTATTTGGGTACTTTAGGAAGGGGAGCACAGCTTCTTTGGCTGGAGGTGTGGGCATTGGATTGCTTCTCACTCTTGCCGGCTATTTCAGTCTCAAAGCCTTTGAGAGGAAGAAGAACTCGTACCCTGCTTTGATTCTTGAAACGGGTAGGCTTCTTTTTTTGCTTTTAGAATTTTGGTTGGTCTGGATCCCAGATGTGTTAGTGATGCTTCACTGAAATTAAAGGAAGTTAAGGTGAAAAGAAAAGCAATTAAATCGTGATCTGGGTCTTTGTTTCTTGAGATAATGCTTTGAAAAACACTAATGGATCACAAAATATGCAAGTTTTGTAGTTTGATTAATTTTATAGCATTGACTTTGCTGATATGCAGGAAATGTGACTTTTTTTCTTTTTTTGTTGACGTTATCTGGGTCTCTGTTTCTTGAGATAGTTCTTAAAGAACATTAATGGATCACAAAATGTGTTAGCTTTGTAGTTTGATTCATTTGATAGCATTGACTTTGCTGATATGTAGGAAATGTGGATTTTTTTTCAAGGTTGTTATTTTGTTCTCTCTACTGATTTGGAAGCTGTGTGCTTCTCCATGATTGGAAGCCTCAGCTTATTTCCTGTTGAAAACTGTTTCTAGGTTTGTTAATTGAATCTTTATAGTTTGTCTGCGGATATGAGTTGCATACATCCATAACAGATTTAGGCATTTCTTCATTGAGCAATGCTGGAGACACCAAAAAAGTACTAAAGTTTTGGATCCCAACTCATATAAAAGCATTTCCTCTGTTCATATCTAGGCTTACTTTAAGTAACATTTATTCATATCTTATAACTAAAAAGTTTTATCTATTAGTGATTGCAAACTTGGTAGGGTGATTTGAAAGATGTGCTTTATGTGTAATATGCTCAGTGATTGCCTTTCAAAATTTCAAGAATTTTAAGAAGTGAAGAGATTGAGATAGAGAGAGTTTGCATTCTGTTCTTCTTTTTCTTCGTATTTTTCTTTTTTCATCCTGCCCACTGTTATGTTGATCTCATGATTTTGATTTTTTTTTTTTTTTTTGTTTTTTTTTTTTTTTTGTGAACTAACTCTATAAAACATTTTTAAAGCTAGTCATTTTTTTTTTTTTGCTGCCACATGGGTCATGGGACAGGGCGGGTAGGTGGTGCAAACTTCTAAGTTCAATGCCAGCTGGTGTTGTTGCTGGCATCAGGTAAGTTCAGTTTCATTGTGCCCTTTTATGGTTGTCTACCTCATACCACTGCATCTGAGTTTTGAGTGCCATGGTTCAGTCTGTTGGTTTATAAACATCAGAAGTACTTTAAGTACCTTGTGCGTCTGGTTTTAATTTATTGCTGCATATGACTGCTTTCCTACATTGCAGCGCCTGTATTTTGTTTCCAAAAAACAAATTCAATATGATGTTTAGAATATCTTCTTTCTCCACGCTAGCTGGCTTTGGCATAGATTGAATTGAACAAATGTTATCGTTACTACTGTGCTGGTAATGAGTCTGTGCACCTAAGGCATGTACATAGTTCTTGTGGTTAGTAGATTTGGGATGGTAGGTTATGTTCCCAAAGACATGTATAACTGTAAAGTTTTTCTGTCAAAGACTGGCAGATTGTTGAGGATGGGCTATTTATAGGTCTTTAAATTTATTGACATCAATTATTGGTAAAACTTGTCTCAGTTGAATGTTAATCCAAATACATATTTTCTTGACAATCTTGAATCATGTGTCCCCACCCACTGAATGACCGAAGCTCTCCTGAATGATAGAACAAGGTTAATCTGTTCTATTGAAACCTATTTTCTGAAATTTAGTTGAAAGGAGTTTCAGATGCCATATATGCTGTAGCACCTTACAATCAGTGCCATTGGGAAATCATACTTGCATGACTTCATCTTGATTCACATCATAATTCAGAAGTTTGGATTCAGCCCGCCCTACGTATCTGTTTTCTTGTGTTTACATCTAATTATCTTTGCAGAATAGAACGGGTATACCGTATACACCTATGGTCTCTAAAAGAGGTAGGATAGGAAATGAGAGTTGGAGTAGAATCTATATCTCCCTCCTGTTATATGGTTAAACTTAAACAGGAACGGAAAGGGGTCTTTCTGTTTTTTGTTTGGTTTTGCAGGAAGGCAGGCAATTCACATATGTTAAATTATAAAGTTATTTGGTTAGCGTATTGTAGTAATTGCACAGTGTTTCTGTTGTTGTCCCTAATTGTAGAGTATACCTATGATTAAAAGCTTTCAATTGGAACTTCTCAGTTATATATGTTTATAGGTTGTCCTTAATATGACTTATATCTGAACTTTCTGAAGCTAAAACCACTTCATTTGTTGCAGTGCCCTCATGACTGGATTTTATCTGTACAAAATTGCAACTGGAGGGAACCATATTCCAGCCAAGACCAAGTGATGGTGTTTGAGGACTTATTTCGACTACATATAAACTGACATACTAAATCACACCGATCCAGTTGCCCATATTCAATGTTAATCCAATAGTGCTAGATACTATGTTATCAGGTTGGGTATAAAACAAGAGATGGCTTGTCTTTGAAATTTGTCGAAACCTTGTCTCTGAACTTCCATTGATCATTTACTGTACTTTTAATCGAATCAAATCAACTGGAGCTCCAGATCAACACCAGTGATGGACATGGCCCTGTTGTTTTGTTTTCTTGGTGTACCAAACCAACCTTCTTGTTCACTGGTGAAGGGAAAATCCCTTGAGAGCACAAGAACAACCTCGCGCATGAATTGAATTAGAACTGCTTGTTTGAAAGCAATAATTAGATGGATGAAAAGGCTGGGGCATTCAAACGAGTCCTAAGTTTTCAAGTCAAGGTTCAATCCACCCGTAGTAAGTTTTACAGAGAAGTTTGACAGACTTTCTCCTCTTTGTAGATGAATACTGCATCCCTTTTATCTTGGCTCTGTGAATAGGGATGAATAGGGATGTGGATGGTTTCCCTTCTTGTCTCTGTGATCCTCAACTATGCCCCCTGTAACATTTTCAGTTTAGAAGATCCTAAGTTGGGGCACGTCCGGTGATCCTTACTCTGTGTCTTGGGTATGCTCAGCAAATGGTATTTTCTTGGTTGCAAATGGGATTTGATTGAACCTCATTTTATTATCAAGAATCAAACCATGCAATAGGGAAACTTAAAAAGCATACAAGTTCATGCTTATAATTTAAAGAAAAAATAAAAAGAAAGTACACGCATATATATATATATATATATATATATATATATTTTTTTTTTTGTCTTACAAAGCGTGTTGCTTCTGAAATTTCTTCCTTATATAAGCTAATACATACGAAACAGAAAATGAAAAACCTCTATTGTATAATTGTCTTTGTTTTTCTTTCACCCTCAATGCTTCGTTGAATTCCGGCAGAAAATAGAGGTAAAGAAATAAAAATGTCTTAGAGATTATAAACTTTACACTTCCGCGCAGACTCAATTTGGTGTCTCCGTGCTGCGTTGCAGAAAACCACGCAGCATTTGCTACTAACATTGCTGAGACAGAAAGCCGAGTGAACTTTGAAGCTGAACGGGTTGGCATCACCAAGTTTTTGCCTACTATTTCATTATAAATCACAAAAAATGAGAATACGAGGGATAATAAGTTCAAGAAATAAAACACTTGAAACTCTATTCTTTTTCCATTGCTTCCTGATGCTCCAGTATCGACGAAAGTTGCTGCAAATGTAATGCCTGCAACAACCGTTGCTATCAGGAGTCTGGATCCACGTCTTTGCTCATGTTCTTTCTCTCCTTCAATGGTATCCTTCTCGGGAACATTCCAGAAATCACGTCTGATTTGGCCATGGAAATATGGAAGACCAATGGAGCTGCTTAGGTTATCCAGAACCCTAGGACTACTACTGCCGAAGATTTCCTGAAACATAAAGAAAGCACAATGAAATTTGTCTGAATTAAAGCTTTTTAAGCCTGGCCGCTTTCTTTGTTTTTGAAAGACTTTATTATTTCAACAGAAAACACAAGATACATAAATGTCAGCCTGAATAAGAGAATCAAGCCAAATTGGTACATCTTCCAGCCAATACAAACTGGACTCCAAATTCAAAGCATGCTGGGCTAAAGCATGCGCATGTTTGTTTGCTTCTCCGGGCCTAAATTGAATATGCACGGTATGAAACAAACACAATTCTCTTAATTCAGGAAGGGGGGATTAGAACTTGGGTGCAAGAGGTAGGCTCACAACCATGGCTAACTGGCATAACCCACGTCTACGTGAAAGAGAGAATAGAAGGAAAATAAATGTGGATATTGAAGAATTATGGAGTGAAGGAAAATAAATGTGGATAGTGAAGAATTATGGACTTTTGTTTGTCACGTTGAAAAATTTAGAGGCAAATATAACTCTAAAACCATAAACAACTTAATCTAGTTTCATTCATGAAATTAAGAAAATATAGGCTTGAAAATTTGTTATATATACCTGTTCTCCAATATTCTGGCTAAGACAAATGTCGTAGGCCTGTGAGAATTTCCCATTGGTAGCAATCTTGTCCACTCTAGGGTCGCCTGTCAACGCTCTTATAATTTCAGGATTTTTCTTGATGGCTGCCAGATGCAACGGAGTGTTTCCATCCACATCGGCTTCGTTTATTAGTACTGCAAGCTTAGGCATGTTCAGTGAATACATGATGACATTTATTCGTCCACCTAAAACTGCAGCATGTAGAGCCGTTTGGCCATAATGATTGACCAAATCACAAATATCTGGCCGACACCGAATCATCTCTTCCATTACATCGGTATGACCTGCATAGGCCGCGACATGGAGAGCTGACATTCCAGATTTGTCCAAGCTGTAAGAAACAGAACTGTCACGTTGCATCAACAGTTGAGTTGCTTCAAGGTTCCCTCCAAATGCTGCGTAGTGTAAGCAAGTCCACCCAAGTGCATCATCAACCTTTTTTATTATATCCGGATATTTCGACACCATAGTCTCCACAATACCTAGGTGTGTCATTTATACGAAAGTTAGATACACAATTATGAGAGGAAGATATTACAGATCAAGGCCAGAATTAGGAATTTCCAACTGGTGGGCTAGTTAAAGGATTAAGGTAAAATCTAATGAACATTTTTTTTGTAGTTACAGTTTATATAGTATTTCTAGAAATAAAAGTATACATTGAATCATATAAACCACAAGTTCATAGCTCCATCGACTAATTTTCAATAAATTTTAACATAAAGCAAGTACATATTAAATGCAACAAAAAAACAGATATTATCAAAATGAAAATATGTTTAACAACAAAATTGAAGATGGGACAAAGGGATTTCAAAGAGGGTTCTTGGGATTCCTAAATTCGTATAAAAATTAAAGGTGGAAGGAAGAAAATTTAAGGTTTTATAATTGAAAGGAGATTATAGGGTTTGATATTAAATTTTGATTACCAGGAGGTTAATTGTTTGTTGATGGGTTTGTATGCGGGTGTTGGGGTTGGCTTATTAGGAAGGATAAAGGGGATGGTACACAGTTCGTTGTCTCCATTCTTTTCCAACATATGATTTGCTCCTCTTTGAAAAAAATCAATTGAGCATGAAGCTTGGGCAAAGAGATAATGAACACAAGAGGGAAACGAGAGAAAGAGGGGGAGAGAGAGGAGGAGAGGTTGGCTAGTGGTGAAGAGGGACAGGCTTTCCACCGGTGTTGGGAGGTGGGTTGGGAACTGGGCGGGCCATAGGTGGTTGTTGGGGGTGAGTGGCTGTTTTTATTATTATTTGTTTTTAATTTTTAATTTTATTTAGACTTAAGGGTGTTTTTTAGAGAAGACTTAATGATGTTAAGTTGGAGTTTGATGTGTCATATTTTAAGTCGTTAGATTATTGCAACGATCAAGATTTAATGAAATACGGATAAATATAAACCATCTAAATGTAGAGACTCGGAATCCGTAATTTACCTTTCCATTCTTCATCCATATAAGTTAGCGCTACATGCAAAGTTGTAACATCGTTAAACCCCCTAAAAGAAGGAGATATTGGACACTGGTTCACAATTGTACGAGCTACGAGTGGAAAGTCATGCCGAGTAGCCAAGAATAAGGGGGACTCCTTATTAAAATTAATCAAACAGCACAATCCAGGATCTTCAGCTATTAACAAATTCACCACCTCAACGTGACCGCATCTGGCAGCAACATGCAGTGCTGTATCTTCTTGAAAATTAGTCATTCGAAGTAGTTTGTTAGCTTCACCATTAGTCGGTCCTCTTTCCTCGTCAGCTCCTTCAATATGCACAAGTTTCTTTGCGTGTTCAATGAGGAGCTTTACAATTTCATCACAGCCTACTCTCGCAGCGACGTGGAGAGGAGTGTTGCCCTTCTTATTGGGAGCCCAAAACGGCAAAGATGGATCATCTAGGACATCTCTGAAGAAATGTATTTGTTTGTATTCAGCTGCAATATGAAAAATACTGTTGTGGGCTGGGGTTTTCTGACAGAGAAGATCAATTGATGCATCAGCTCTTCTGAAAAAACCAACATCACCCGATTCTGCAGCCTCATACACAGAAGGATCCATGGCTCTTGGCTCTAGCTTCCAACTTATTTTCTCTCAAGCTTTCTCAAGGAGATCGACAAGAAAACCATAATCTAATATGACTAATTTTATTCTTTTATAATTGACAAAAATGACTTTTTTATATTTTAGCAAAGCTAATTAAATGATGCGGAAAGATCCATAGGGTAATTTAATGGAAGCTACACCTTACTACTTGCCTTCATTTTTGGAAGAAGATACTCCTCTTTCTGGTTTGACACATGTGCAAAAATAATTCATCAAAAATACAAAAAGAAAAACTTCTACACACATGTCATACGACCATTGGCAGGAATGTAAGAGTTTCTACTTACAAAGGAAGGAGGGATGTATTTTCCTATATATTAAGGTCCAACATACTTTATGTTATATAAAGATTATTGAAAAATAAGTGTATTGGTATTAGTAACTTAATAAATGCTAGAGCAGATGCCCCACCCATTGATAAAAAATAAAATAAAAACTTTCTCATTGTAATTATTTGCAATTGTATTCTAATAATCACTTAAAAAAATTGACAATAATCATTATTATTCGGTGACATTTACTGGGGTGGCTAAAAAATATCACTAAATAATAGTGACTGTTGCTATTTTTTTGTGTGTGAATATGGCTTATTAAACTTTTCAGTCAAAGAACTTTAAAAGCGTGCACAAAACTTTGTTATTTGTCAAATGAGTAGGTTACTTGCCAAGAAGACGATACCTTTTGACCTGTCTTCTAGGGAGACCGATATGACTAATAAATTCACGCGGTGGCACAAATAGAAAAGTAGTGTGTTAATAGATATCTATTTAATTCAGTCTTTGAAGACTAAATTAAAGGGCAACTTTCAATCAGTTTCTTCCCATTGCATGAATTTCTCTTCTTCTGGACGTTTTCCCTGGCGAGGAGAGGACATCATCTTCTTGGAAAATTCTGGCGAGACTATTTTTTTATAGTCCACATTAAGACCACAACGTGATAAGTATTACAGCCACCCTCCAAATCATTGTTCAAATTATAGATAAATTTGAGATTTATTCTAATATTGAGATTTATTCTAAATTTGATAGGCAATAATTAGATGGATGAGAAGGCTTTATTTCAATTTTGTTGGGGTGGGGGCTCCGGCATTCAAACGCGTCCTAAGTTTTCAAGTCAAGGTTCAATCGACCCATAGTAAGTTTTACAGAGAAGTTTGACAAACTTTCTCCTCTTTGTAGATGAATACTGCATCCCTTTTATCTTGGGTTAATATGGATGTGGATGGTTCCCTTGCTGTCTCTGTGATCCTCAACTATGCCTTGGGTATGCTCAGAAAATGGTATTTTATTGGTTGCAAATGGGATTTGATTGAACCTCATTTTATTATCAAGAATCAAACCATACAATAGGGAAACTTAAAAAGCATACAAGTTCGTGCATGTGCATGTAGCAGTTTGACAACAAAAACAGAAGAAAAATAGAAAATAAACATGGGTTGGGTTTCTGTAGCAAAATCATGTGAGCTGGACTCAAAGCATACAATATTTAATTAACACTGGCTGGGAACCAAAGCATATTACAATATACTCAATTATGAATATGTTATAATTTAAAGAAAAAAAGAAAGTACATATATATATATATATATTTGTCTTACAAAGCGTGTTGCTTCTGAAATTTCTTCCTTACATAAGCTAATACATACGAAAAAGAAAATGAAAAACCTCTTCTGTATAATTGTCTTTGTTTTAGTTTCATCGTCAATGCTTCCAAGAGTTCCGGCAGAAAAAATAAGTAAAGAAACAAAAATATCGCAGTGATTATAAAATGTACACTTTCAAGCAGACTCAATTCGGTGTCTCCGTGCTGCGCTGCAGACAACCACGTAACACTTGCTACGAACATTGCTGAGACGGAAAGCCGAGTGAACTTTGAAGCTGAACGGGTTGGCAACACCAAGTTTTTGCCTACTATTTCATTATAAATCACAAAAACTGAGGAAAAGAGGGATAATACGTTCAAGAAAACAAACACTTGAAGCTCTTTTCTTCTTCCATTTCTTCCTGGTGCTCCAGTATCGACGAAAGTTGCTGCAAATGTAATGCCTGCAACAACCGTTGTTATCATGAGTCTGGATCCACGTCTTTGCTCATGTTCTTTCTCGCCTTCAATGGTATCCTTCTCGGGAACATTCCAGAAATCACGTCTGATTTCGCCATTGAAATATGGAAGACCAACGGAGCTGCCTAGGTTGTCCAGAACCCTAGGACTACTACTGCCGAAGATTTCCTGAAACATAGAGAAAGCACAACGAAATTTGTCTGAATTAATGCTTTTTAAACCTGGCCGCTTTTTTTGTTTTTGAAAGACTTTATTATTTCAACAGAAAACACAAGATACATAAATGTCAGCTTGAGTAAGAGAATCAAGCCAAATTGATACATCTTCCAGCCAATACAAACCGGACTCCAAATTCAAAGCATGCTGGGCTAAAGTATGCGCAAGTTTGCTTGCTTCTCCAGGCCTAAATTGAATATGCACGGTATGAAACGAGCACAATTCTCTTAATTCAGGAAGGGGGGATTAGAACTTGGGTGCAAGAGGTAGGCTCACAACCATGGCTAATTGGCATAACCCATGTCTACGTGAAAGAGAGAATAGAAGGAAAATAAAGGTGGATAGTGAAGAATCATGGAGTTTCGTTTGTCACGTTGAAAAATTTAGAGAGGCAAATATAACTCTAAAACCTTGAACAACTGAATCTAGTTTCGTTTATGAAATTATGAAAATATAGCCTTGCAAATTCGTTATATATACCTGTTCTCCAATATTCTGGCTAAGACAAATGTCGTTGGCCTGTGAGAATTTCCTATTGGTAGCAATCTTGTCCACTCTTGGGTCGCCTGTCAACGCTCTTATAATTTCAGGATTTTTCTTGATGGCAGCCAGATGCAACGGAGTGTTTCCATCTACATCTGCTTCGTTTATTAGTACTGCAAGCTTAGACATGTTCAGTGAATACGTGATGACATTTGTTCGTCCACCTAAAACTGCAGCATGTAGAGCCGTTTGGCCATAATGATTGACCAAATCACAAATATCTGGCCGACACCGAATCATCTCTTCCATTACATCGGTGTGACCTGCATAGGCCGCGACATGGAGAGCTGACATTCTAGATTTGTCCAAGATGTAAGAAATAGAACTATCACGTTGCATCAACAGTTGAGTTGCCTCAAGGTTCCCTCTAAATGCTGCGTAGTGTAAGGAAGTCCACCCAAGTACATCATCAACCCTTTTTATTATATCCGGATATTTCGACACCATAGTCTCCACAATACCTAAGTGTGTCATTTATACGAAAGTTAGATACACGGTTATGAGAGGAAGATATTACAGAACAAGGTCAGAACTAGGAATTTTCAACTTGTGGGCTGGTTAAAGAGTTTAAGGAAAAATCTAATGAATATGTTTTTTGTACTTACAGTTTATATAGTCTTTCTAGAAATCGAAGTATACATTGAATCATATAAACCACACTAGTTCATAGCTCCATCGACTAATTTTCAATAAATTTTTACATAAAACAAATACATATTAAATGCAACAAAAAAATAGATATTATCAAAATGAAAATATGTTCAACAAAAAAATTGACGATGGGACAAAGGGATTTCAAAGAGGGTTCTTGGGATTCCTAAATTCGTATAAAAATTAAAGGTGGAAGGAAGAAAATTTAAGGTTTTATAATTGAAAAGAGATTATAGGGTTTGATATTAAATTTTGATTTCCAGGAGGTTAATTGTTTGTTGATGGGTTTGTATGCGGGTGTTGGGGTTGACTTATTAGGAAGGATAAAGGGGATGGTGCACAGTTCGTTGTCCCCATTCTTTTCCAACATATGATTTGCTCCTCTTTGAAAAAATCAATTGAGCATAAAGCTTGGGCAAAGAGATAGAGAACACAAGAGGGAAACGAGAGAAGGAGGGGGAGAGAGAGAGGTTGGCTAGTGGTGAAGAGGGACTTGGGTTGGGAACTTGGGCGGGCCATAAGTGGTTGTTGGGGGTGAGTGGCTGTTTTTATTATTATTTGTTTTTAATTTTTAATTTTATTTAGACTTAAGGGTGTTTTATAGAGAAGACTTAACAATGTTAAGTTGCAGTTTGATGTGTCATATTTTAAGTCGTTAAATTATTGCAACGATCAAGATTTAATGAAATGCGAATAAATACAAACTATCCAAATGCAGAGACTCGGAATCCATAATTTACCTTTCCATTCTTCATCCATATAAGTTACCGCTACATGCAAAGTTGTAACACCGTTAAACCCCCTAAAAGAAGGAGATATTGGACACTGGTTCACAATTGAACGAGCTACGAGTGGAAAGCCATCCCGAGTAGCCAAGAATAAGGGGGACTCCTTATTAAAATTAATCAAACAGCACAATCCAGGATCTTCAGCCATTAACAAATTCACCACCTCAACGTGACCGCATCTGGCAGCAACATGCAGTGCTGTATCTTCTTGAAAATTAGTCATTCGAAGTAGTTTGTTAGCTTCACCATTAGTCGGTCCTCTTTCCTCGTCAGCTCCTTCAATATGCAGAAGTTTCTTTGCGTGTTCAATGAGGAGCTTTACAATTTCATCACAGCCTACTCTCGCAGCGACGTGGAGAGGAGTGTTGCCCTTCTTATTGGGAGCCCAAAACAGCAAAGATGGATCATCTAGGACATCCCTGAAGAAATGTATTTGTTTGTATTCAGCTGCAATATGAAAAATACTGTTGTGAGTTGGGGTTTTCTGACGGAGAAGATCAATTGATGCATCAGCTCTTCTGAAAAAACCAACATCACCCGATTCTGCAGCCTCATACACAGAAGGATCCATGGCTTATTTTCTCACAAGCTTTCTCAAGGTAGTTGTGTACTTGATTAGCTAGCACCAAAGGAATTGTATGAACACTATGTTTAAAGACCCCTTCATTATATATAGGAGGAGATCGACAAGTAAACCATAATCTAATATGACTTATTTTATTATTACTTTTATAATGGACAAAAATGACTTTTTTATATTTTAGCAAAGCTAATTAAATGATGCGGAAAGTTCCATAGGGTAATTTAATGGAAGCTACACCTTAGTGCTTGCCTTCATCTTTGGAAGGAGATACTCCTCTTTCCGGTTTGACACATGTGCAAAAATAATTTATCAAAAATACAAAAAAAAAAAAAAATTCTACACATATGTCATACGACCAGGAATGTAAGAATTCCTATATATTAAGGTCCAACATACTTTATATTATATAAAGATTATTGAGAAATAAGTGTATCAGTATCAGTAACTTAATAAATGCTAGAGCAGATGCTAAGTTCGAAACTTTCCTCACCCATTGATAAAAAATAAAATTATAACTGTCTCATTGTAATTATTTGCAATTGTATACCAATAAATAATATGGCTTATTAAACTAAGAACTTTGAAAGCGTGCACAAAACTTTGTTATTTGTCAAAAAGATGATACCTTTCGATCTGTCTTTAGGACAATGGAACAAACAGAAAAGTAGTGTGTTAGTTGATTATATATCTATTTAGTTCAGGCCTTGAAGACTAACTTAAAGGGAGACTTCCAGTCAGTTTCTTCTCTTCTTCATATCGCTTTTCCCTCGAGGAGAGGACATCATCTTCTTGGCAATTTCTGGTCAGACTATATTTACCATACTTTAGGACCACAATGTGAAAAGTATTACAACCAACCTCCAAATCACTGTAGCATCATTATTGGTTCAAATTATATTATGAACTTTTATTTTTTAAACAGAAATCTAGGATTCAAATCTGAGACTTTTATTCTAATATTTGCAGGAAGTTAAGGTTTCACTCCAAAATCGATTCGTCAGGGGGAGTAGTCCAACTCCTTATAAGTCCTTGATAGGTTTCTCAACTTTCTAATGTAGGACTTTTTACCTTCACACACACACCTCTACCCATGTAGCGAATTTTCAAGCCTAACACTTGGACAACACATATTGGGTGACGTGGAGTACGTGTAGTCGTTGGGCTTTCACATGTAGGCAACCTACTCTAATATCATGACGGAAGTTGAGATTCCACCAAAAACCAATTGGCCATGTGGGGAGTAGTCCAACTCCTTATAAGCCCTTGATAAATTCCTCAACTTTCCAATGTATAACTTTTACCTTCACATTCTCACAATATCGTAACTAAGAGCTAGTTGGTCCCAAGTTATATCATATATAGGTCATGTTCAAACAATGTTGTTAACACAAATGTAACACCTTTGAGGCCATTAAATCAAAGCACTTTTCAAGATATGAGTTATTGGTTACTCTTAGTAAAAGAATTTAATATAAGATCGGAAATAACATAATCTCTACCAATTTTCTTTGTCTTTTCTCTGTTTTAATTTTCTTGGTCTCCTTTACATTGCATACTGCAAGCCTCGATATGTAAATACTGTAAGAATCCATGGGTAGAACTTGCCCCTAAAAACCGACTTGTAAGAAAAGGGCGCCCATAAGCTCTTAAACCTCTCTGTGATATACTAGTTTTCCAATGTGGGATCTTGAGTCTTAACATGTTCATCCAACAAATGTTACATTAAATTTTATGAAAAATAATATTTGGGATACTTGGCTCAGTTGAATGTTCATCTGCATACATACACTTGGATATCATATTATACACTTGGATATCATATTTTCTGGACAATCTAGAATCATGTGTCCCCACTCAATAAACAAGCAAAGCTCACCTGAATGATTGAACAAGGTTTATCTGTTCTGTTCAAACCATTTTGAGGAATCTAGTTTAACAGAGTTTCAGGTCCCATATATTTGTAGCAACCTTACAATCAGTGCTATTGAGAAATCATACTTTCAAGTTTCCCCTTGATTCACATCATAATTCACAAGTTTGGATTGAGTTCTGTTAACGCAGCTTTCCTTTCCTAGCCTACACGGAAGTCAATTTCACAATCTCCTCCTAACAATTAGCCTTTCCTGCTATAAATCGGATTTCCTGCTGTAAATCGGATTGTATTCATGTCTATATTATTTCCTACCTTAAGTAGATATCCTGTACTAGTATAAATAGAGACTTTGTGTAATCTGTCAAATACAAGGAAATATATTCTTTACAAGTTCACTCAACCTTTCTATTTCATGAAACTGTAGGCTATAGTTTAGCTAGATTAAAACCTTTCAATTGGAACTCCTAACATATGTTTCAATTTCCTGAAACTAAAACCACTTTATTTTGGTTGCAGCGCTCTCATGACTGGATTTTACCTGTACAAAATTGCAACTCTAGATACTGTACTATCAGGTTGTGTGTATAAAATGAAATATATAACTTGTTTCTGAAAGTGGTTCGAATCTTGTTTCATACCTTGAATTCATTGTTTACTGTGTACTTTTAATCAAATCCACGGAAGCGCAGGACCGACCCTTCAAAGTTCTAGATTTATGTCATGAAACATAAATTAGATCCGTAGATTTACAGTCTGACAATATATATAATATGTAATTATGCACTGATCATGTACCTGATTATCAGAGTCGCTGAAGCAAATGCCACTGCAGGGTTTAAAAGAAGGGGGCACACGTGTTAGAAAGGAATCTTTTGCTTTGTTTTCTTTGTTTAACTAAAAATTTCTTTGTTACTGGTGGGCAGGGACGGATCCAGGAATTGCAAATCGGGTGGGTTAAATTTACCTTAAGTACAAATGTATTAACAAAAATTAGTGAGTTTTGTGGATTTTGGTTGGTTTTTGTAGATTTTTAGGGTTGGATAATAGATTTTAGGAACTAAAAACTAGAGTTAACCCACATGGGGTGGCTAAATTTTTTTGAGGTAAATCATAAGCCCTAGTTTGTTATATTTTTATTTTATATAAGCACTCTTTTTTCAGTATATTTTCTTCGTATTTAGAACTTTTTGTTATTATACGACATTTGAAATAGAGAAAATGTTAGAATTATTGATAATATTTTTGAAATATTTGGAAGGGATTGAAGGGAAACAAAGAAAGAAAAGGAAAAAATATATATTTATAAGGAGTTGAAGTTAAAAAGAAAGTAATAATAAAATAAAAATATCCCATTTTGTGGGGAGGGAACCTAACAAAATAAAAACACATCTCATCCCAACACATATCTCCCCTGCTCTCTTTTTTTGTTATATTTTCTTGTCTCTCTCTTTTTTTTATTCTTTTTTCCTCTCTCTCTCTCTCTCCCTCCCTCTCCCTCTTTCTTTATTCTTTTTCCTTCTCTCTCCATCTGCTCCATCTCTCTGTTCTTTTTTCTTGCAGCTTTGGGATGGGCTATCTCTATTAAGTTTTTTTTTGTAAATCTTAAGAATACTGGTATTACAAATACAAAAAAATATTCGTATGGGCTGGAGCCCAGACAGCCCACAACGTGGATCCGTCCCTGCTGGTGGAGGGAAAAGGCTTTCAGAGCATGTGAAGTAACCCCAGTTTCTCATCAAAGCAGCATTTAGATGCATAAGAAAGTTTCATTTGAATGGGACAGTCAACTGAGTCCTACACTTCTATTTCAGAAAATGGGTAAAATACTTAGTGAGCCTGAGTGTACCCTTTTGTCCGTACTCTCTAGGGAATCAACCTCTCGGCTAACCCTAGATTCCCCAAGTAATATCTTCCAATGTAACGATGATACTACAAAAAAAAAAGTGGCAACAGTCACCATTATTTGGTGACGGTTGTTGGAGTGAATAAAGGCTTTAGTCACCAAATTTTTTTTTTTAAAAAAATGTGACTAAAAGCCTTTTTAGTCACCAAAAAAGTCAAAAAATGTGACTAATAATGTCTTTTGTCACGGCCACAAATGTCACAGATAATGGTAACTGTTGCCAATTTTTTTAGTAGTGATTACAATTAGTCTTTGTAGAGTTTATTGGTCACAAAAACATTATCTAATTCCAGAATACAAAAAACAACCAAAAGTGAAATCAACAAGGCATCAATGTGATGTTTTCTAAGTACCTAGCAAAGATCAAGTCAACCTAATTTGTCTTGCACGTTTGGGGTTCAGAATCATGACAAAGATAATATGTGTCTTCATGCATTTGACATTTGTGACACATGAAACCTATGTATTTACAAACTAGGCGGAAATTGCCATGAAATGAAGTTTTTTTTATTAAACAAACCAAGTAGAAAACCATTCATTCCTCAATTTCACCGAATGGGTGGTGTGTACAAACAGCTAAACACAAACAGCTGAGGTACTATCGCTGCACTACCAAACAGCTGAAATTATATTCCAAGCCAAACTTGCCATCATGAACAGAGTTTTCACTGCACTATAAGAACCAGTACCGTGTTCTTCTCCATAATTGTGTTATGTATCGATTCTTTCTAGTTCTGCAAAACCAATGTGCTTCTGCATATTTCGATACACCCGCCCGAAACCGTTAAAAAAGAAAAAAGTATTTATCTTCTTTTCCTTTCCTTTACAAGACCTCCCCCATATGCATTGATTTTTCATTCCTCTTGAATCCCTCCCTCACACTCTTGCAAAAACAAATTCCGCCACACAAATCATGAATACCCTTCTTGTCACCATTTTCTTCTTGGTCATCCCCATTTTCTTTCTCATTACGAGAAGAAGAAAATCATCGAAAAGGCTTCCTCCGGGCTCATTGGGACTACCCATAATAGGGCAGAGCCTTGGCTTTCTTCGAGCCATGCGCAACAACACTGCAGAAAATTGGCTTGAACAAAGAATAACCAAGTATGGTCCGGTTTCAAAGCTGAGTCTCTTTGGCAAGCCAACAGTCTTCATTCATGGACAGGCTGCAAACAAGTTTGTATTCAACAATGATGGCAAAACCATTACCAGCCAACAACCTGAGTCCACTCGAATGATTTTAGGTGACCGGAACATATTGGAGCTGAGTGGCGAGGATCACAAGCGAGTTAGAAATGCTCTTATGGTGTTCTTGAAGCCTGAGTCACTGAAGCTATATGTGGGAAAAATGGACGAAGAAATCAGGAAGCATCTTGAGTTGAATTGGCATGGGAAGCAAAAAATAACAGTAAGTTATAGCACTCATATAGGTTGGGACCATACCCATATGTAAATCTACACTTATTCGCTGAATGAAAATTCACATTTCATTAACAAAGTTTTTCCGTTGTTCATAGGTCTTGCCTCTCATGAAGAACCTCACATTCAACATTATATGCTCACTGCTTTTTGGGGTTGAACGAGGACCTCGCAGAGACGAACTCATTGAGTGTTTTCAACGACTGATAGAAGGACTGTGGTCAGTCCCTCTTAACTTGCCGTTCACGCGTTTCAACTGCAGCATCAAGGCAAGCAAGAGGGTTCAAAACATGGTTAAGGAACTAATTCGTGAAAAGAGGATGCAACTTGAGCAAAAAACTGCTTTACCACTCCAAGACCTTATCACTTGCTTGCTTAGCATTCGAAATGTTGACAATGAAGAAGAATTAACTGAAAAAGACATCTTGCACAATATCATAGTAGTTATGGCTGCAGGATATGACACTTCATCTGTGGTCATTACTTTTCTTTTGCGGCTTCTAGCTAATGAACCTGCTGTTTATGCAGCCCTTCTTCAAGGTATGCATAATCCCCCTACTTCTAAAATTCTACATGACGTATGAAAAATGAAGCGTTCAAGTTTACCTTATTCCATTGGATCACTAACGAGTTGGAACCTTCGTAATGTGATTGATGCTTGTTCATTTGTGTTTACAGAACAGGAAGAAATAGCTAGAAGCAAATCCTTAGGGGAACTTCTGACATGGGAAGACCTTGCTAAGATGAAGTACACATGGAGGGTAACAATGGAAATTCTGAGGACAACTCCTCCTGTCTTTGGTGGCATGAGGAGGGCTATGAAAGATATAGAGTATGAAGGATTCCTCATCCCTCAAGGGTGGCAAGTAAGTTCAAATTTACTATAAGCATAATATTTACAGAAAGTCTCATTCTCATTCTCTTTCAAAAAGATAGAAATATTGATGAAAATCCTAACATCAAATATTGCTAGATATTCTGGGCTATTCCTATGACACACAATGACGATAGCATATTCCCTGACCCATCAAAGTTCGATCCAAGTAGGTTCGAGAACCAAAAATCAGTTCCACCCTACAGCTTTGTTCCATTCGGAGGAGGAACACGAATATGTCCAGGATATGAGTTTGCCAGGATTGAAATCCTTGTTGCAATCCATTATATGGTAACTCAATTCACATGGAAGCTATGCGCAGACAACAAGTTCAGTAGGGTTCCCATGCCAGTACCTACTCAAGGACTACCTATAGAAATCATGCCAAGGAAACAAATGTAATGTTAAGATGTTTGATCAACTTCAATACTTACCATGCGTGCTACACGAAATGTCTCGATGTGGAACGATATTATGTGCTATTCATGCATCTAAAGCAATTAAATTCTATCGAGCTATCTCTAGAGGTTGTATATTATGTTACACGAAAACATGCCACAAGAATGTTTATGAGATTTATGGGGTCCTATGTGCAAAAATTTAAAAGAAACCATTCTAATCTGTCTCTGTGATTTTAGACTAACCTTTCCAACCTAGTTCCAGCTATATTACTTTTGTTCTTTTATCAAGGGAAGGGGGGAATTCGAACTTGGAACCTTTTAATAACAAAAACGAAAAACAAAAGTTCTAGTTATATTGTCAAGTTTTTCTGTCTGATTAAATAAACAAAAACAATGAGGGAATAATTCCAGAGAACTTGGACACCTTATACTAATTTATTTAATTTATTAAATGTATAGAAACAGTGAATTATACAACACATGATGTTGAACTATTACTTATTATATTACAACTACTTTGCATTCTGTGCATTCTTTAATTGAAGTATAAGTGCACTTGTAAACCAAGAAGTTTGGTGGGGTTTTGTTTTCAGAGTTCTAAATGGAATAGTTGACTTATAGGCACATGAGATACCCTCCCAGAAGCCAACAAAAACATATTTAGCTTTCTTTGAATTGAAGATGGATTAAACTCCTGTTCTTTCACTCCACAAACAAAGCCTCACAAATCATGGATATCCTTCTTCTCATCACAGTTTTCCTCTTCCTCATCCCCATCTTCCTTCTCCTTACAAGAAGAAAAAAGTCATCAAATAGGCTTCCTCCAGGCTCACTCGGGCTGCCCATAATAGGCCAGAGCCTTGGTCTTCTCAGAGCCATGCGTGCCAATACTGCTGAAAAATGGCTTGAACAAAGAATCAGAAAGTACGGTTCAGTTTCGAAGCTAAGTCTCTTTGGGAAACCAACAGTCTTCATTCATGGACAGGCTGCAAACAAGTTTATATTCACCGCTGATGGCAGCACCATTACCAGCCAACAAACGGAGTCTATTCGTATGATTTTGGGTGACCGGAATATACTGGAGATGAGGGGCAATGATCACAAGCGTTTAAGAAATGCTCTTATGTTGTTCTTGAAGCCTGAGTCACTGAAGCAATATGTTGGAAAAATGGATAAAGAAACCAGGAAGCATCTTGAGACGCATTGGCATGGCAAGCAACAAGTAAAAGTAAGTTATTCCTATCAAGAACTTTCAGTGAGAGAATTTCAAAATAGAAAGAAAGTTGAAAGGGGTTTTGAAATGATATAACTTTACTTCAAATGCCACCATTTGGTGAAAGAAGAGTTTACCCTGTTGTTCAACACTTTTTTTTTCTTTTTTCTTTTTCTATCAGATCTTTTCAACCATGTTTTTCTGATCATAGGAATTGTGGCAGCCAAAGCCATTTTTTCTATCCACCTAACTGCATCCTGTCCCTAGAATGTGTGAAACAAGAGTTACCTAGCAGAAACCTCCCTGTATTGCCTTCTGCTCCTGTTTTTTATTTTAAGATTAAAAAAGAAAATGAACTCAAAGCAACAAACAAAGATCAATGTCAATTATCAAAGGTTTCTAAATTCTATTGCTTGATAGGCCTTGCCCCTGATGAAGATTCTCACGTTCAACATAATGTGCTCTCTGCTTTTCGGGCTTGAACAAGGAACTCGCAGAGACGAACTTGTGGAGTGTTTCCAACAAATGATAGAAGGAATGTGGTCAGTCCCAGTTAACTTTCCGTTCACGCGTTACAACCGCAGCCTCAAGGCTAGCAGGAGGGTTCAAAACATGATCAAGGAACTCATATCCGAAAAGAGGGTGGAACTTGAGCAGAAAACTATTTCTCCACTCCAAGACCTTGTCACTTGCTTGCTTAGCATCCGAAATGATGACAACGAAGAAGTTATAACAGAAAAAGAAATCTTGCACAATATCATGCTAATCATGGTTGCAGGACATGACACTTCATCTGTTGTGCTTACTTTTCTTTTTCGGTCTCTAGCTAACGAGCCAGCTGTTTATGAAGCCCTTCTTCAGGGTATGCATATTAGAGGCAAGATTTTCAAATTTCCTGCATAAAAGGCACTGATCCAATGCAACTGATGCCCCTTGATTTGTGGCTTGCAGAGCAAGAAGAAATAGCTAAAAGCAAATCCCCAGGAGAGTTTCTGACATGGGAAGACCTTGCCAAGATGAAGTACACATGGAGAGTAGCAATGGAAACTATGAGAATAACTCCTCCTGTTTTTGGTGGCTTCAGGAAGGCATTGAAAGACATTGATTTTGATGGCTTTCTCATCCCCAAAGGGTGGCAAGTAAGTTCAAATGTACAATAAAGTGCTATTAGCATCCGTGTCCCATTTTCTTCCAGAAACGTACAACTGATAATAATATCCAATACTGTCAGATATTCTGGGCTACTTCTATGACACACATGGACAAGAGCGTTTTCCCAGAGCCATCAAAGTTTGATCCAACTAGGTTCGAGAACCAAGCATCAGTTCCACCCTACAACTTCATTCCATTCGGAGCGGGGCATCGAGTATGTCCAGGATACGAGTTTGCCAGGATTGAAATACTTGTTGTAATTCATTATATGGTAACTCAGTTCACATGGAAGCTCTGTGCAGACAACAAATTCAGTAGGGATCCCATGCCTGTACCTACTCAAGGACTGCCCTTAGAAATCAGGCCAAGGAAACCTTGTTAAGTATTAAAATGTTTTGTCAACCTAAATAGTTATCATGCTTTGTTTAGAAGGATAACGTGTCTTAATGTAAGTGATGTGTTAGCTATCTATATATGCCTTTGAAACAAGGTCTGCAAAGCTACATTTGTGGGTATTAACTAACAAAACCAACACTGAAAGTTCTTGTTCTTTTGGGATTGGTGTTTTTGCCCCCTTATAGCTCTTGTTGGAATTGATCTAATAACTAAAAAGGGATGTTATTTTGCTTAAGACAACAAAAGTGATATGTTTATTGAATCAAATAGACTCTGTTGTGCTTATCATATTTTGGTGTGCTACACTTTTCTTTTTGCTGGAAATTTTCGTGTTACATTATTATAGGTAGGGGTGTTTGTTGGTTTAAAACCGACAAAATGTAATCAATCCACACATGTGATGCAATCCAATTAGAGCTTAGGATCCGATTCAGTCTGATCCATTTTGTATTTGATTGATTGGATTCGATGATCAGTTTTAGTTTCATCAAATGACTTAAATTGTTCATAACTTCTAATTTCAAATGTGAAAAAGCATGAAACCAACTAGGTTGGATTGCATTAGATTCGATTTTAAAATTTAGGGATTCAATTTGATCGGCCAAACCATCAAAAAATTGACCAAAATTGAATTGAATCGGTTGGTTTAGACAAATTGGATCGGATGTTGAACACCCCTAACTATAGGCCAAAATTCAACTTTATCCCGTCTACATCTTTGTTCTTTTATCATTCATAAATTGGGCTGCTAGTGAGTTGGCGACACCCCTCTTGTTATTAACGTCTATCTAAATTTTCTTCATACAATCTGAGTTCAAAATTCAAATGATGACAAGATCACGTGTCTTCATGTATTTGACAGTTACGATGCCTGACATCTCTCTTGACAAACCTAAATTTGCAGTCTGATTAGACAAACGAAATAATGATCGAATAATTCCCCTGAACTTGAGCCACCTTACTCGACTCGACACTTGTCTTCTGTTTTGTCAAATGTGTCGTACAAAAAGTACTTGTTAACATAAATGATTGCAGTTTGCATTATATTACAAGTCATACTTGCATCTTTAATAGAAAAGCATGGCCAAACCAGCAATTTGTGAGATACCCTAGAGTGACAGACAAACCTGAGAGATTCTTGTAAACAGAAAAAAAAACCAATATGTTGTTCCCAACTCCTTTCTGAGACTAGGGAACACTTCAATCAATTTGGAATGACATTATAAAAAAAATAAGAAAAAAAAAATGTTGTGGAAAAGAAAGACATGCATTACAATTCATATTCCTTTTCATGTACATTGTACAACAATTGGAACACTAACACTGCCCTCCTTTTGTACCTGACTACCGAACGTATTTACAGCTTCGCCATATTTCATTCATTTGTATCCAACAATAGAACTACACTAAAAGCAGAAGAAACTGGTATGGCATCAACCATAGGCCTAACAAATTTGTACGAGCATAGGCCTAACAAATTTGTACGAGCAACGAATTGAGGACCTAGCAATTCCGTGACCTGGAGTACTTTGGGGGTAGTGATTCGCACCTTTCATTCATATGGGAGTATGGTTCCATGCTGTTGTATTCAGGTAGTTCCATTCGATACTTCCCTTTAATCTGACAGAAAGGAAGCTTCACGGTGTCCCCGTCATTGCACCACTTTGGCAGGCGGCTTGAATTATTTTCAAAGAATTTCAGCATATAAGCATCTTTTATCTGCATTTATGGCAAATAAAGTTAAATCCACGAGAACGAACATATAAACTCCTCATGAAACAACTAATTTGCAAAGCACCCAATGGATGACGTTCTGAATGGGAAGCTACATGAACCTCAACAATCTAATTTCTTTTTTTTTCTTCAAATGTCACTATACTATCCCTTATTTAAAATTAAAAAGACTAACGATAATATTACATCTATTATTATTGAAAAGGGAATAAAAGAGGTCAGTCATCATTGATCTTGTGTCTCCTTTTTAGACAGTGGATTAAATTTTGGAGACGATGCAAACGACCTGTTTATTCTAAAGCAAACAGATTCAAATTTTGTTCTGGATAAACTCACCGTAAATTCAGTGACTTGGATAGAGCTACCGATTGGATCAAACAGTCCTGCCTCCTTATACATTTCAAGAATGAAGGCCACACACGATGTTGACTTCCCATCACTGTATAGCCAATCATCCTGTTCGGGAACTGTCAGTAGTTCATCAAAAGATGATCCTCTCTTTTCAACTTCAACTAGAATATCCGGAAAACTAAGGTTCTGCATGAAATACAATGGGTACATCAGAAACTCAGAACGATAATAATGACACAATGAATTTCAAAGATGATATTGACTAATTGCTTAACTTCTAACCAAAAGTAAAAATCTTGATCAGTTGATATTTCCAACTTAAGGAATGCTGATTTATCATTTACTCCAAAAATCTGATGCCCTTGTGGCAACAAAACATAGTTTTTAAAGAGAGAGTTCGAAGATAACCACAGGATTGCAATGCAAGGAAAAAGTTTCACAACACCTGCGTTCCAAGTCTCTTGTTCAAGGCTTCATTCCACATGTTCGCAGCATATGTGGGCTGTATATGATTCCAAACAGTCATAACAGAAGCAACCTGCATAACCATAGAGCTAAGAATAAGGACCAATGAATAAGAAAACCTCTTCAAGCTCGTAGAAGCATCCACAAGCAAGACATGTCTGAGAGAGAGGGAGATAGCAGGACTTAACTATATTCTCTTAGTTGGCTCACCAATTTAACTATGAACCTAACGAGAGCATTTCTTTCTATCTTCTTTTCCAGTTGTAAACATCCACAGATCATCATCTTATTAAAAAGGTTTTACTTAGAAGGAATGTCTACCCTCATCCCCATCATGAACCCCTTTTAGGCCACTAGGAAGCATGTATAATAGCTGCATGAGCACCTTGATACAGATTAATCTGTACCCGCAAGTTTATAAAGTGGTTGTCTGAAAGCCAGAAATTATAAACCATAAAGAGAATAATTGGGGTAAAGCACCTAACAGGAAGCTTTTTAAGTCCTCTATAGAATCCCAGGCCTCAACCCAAACAGGTAATGGAAACCACCAAGTTCAATACTAACTAAATCAGACACTAAATCATCATACCAAAAGAAAAAGAAATTAATATTAATTTTGATTTACTAATACTGTAACAGTCTGATAATGAAATCTTAAATGTACTTATAACATGATACCACGTGAGCATCCAAAGGGGGTGGATAGTTGTCTTGTATAGTATCTATCCAGCTGAATATCAAGTTATGATAACCATATGGTTGGCCTTCCATGCTCCTTGCATACTCCCAGGCAGCAGTCTCATTAAATTTTGCTCGTATATCAGGATGCAAGGGAAGCAACGCAACATGGGGATTGGCATCATCTTTATTCAGCTCAAACTCCCACCACTCATCCCATGGCAGCACAGCAATGACATCTTCTCCCTAGAACATGAAAGGAAAAAAGGACAACAGATTTATATACATAGTCATATACAAATAAAGACATACATACATACATATATATATATATATAGAGAGAGAGAGAGAGAGAGAGAGAGAGAGATAATTTAATGTTTTTTCATATTTGTTGGTGCTTAGAACCCATCTCGTCCCAGCATTGCCAATCGAACCAAAGCCCAAAGGCAAAGGACATATTTATAGCATTACTTATCCTTATATAATAATAATAATTAAAATTAGCACTCTTTGACCTGGAAATGGTGCCTGACTATACAGAAAACTGGAGGAAAAATGTAAAACAAAAAAACATAAAAAGTTTACATGCAAATCACACACAAGCAAAACAGAACCTGAAACCAAATGTTACAATACCAAAGTATTTTAACTTTGCAACTCACCTTCTCGTTTTCATGTCCTGATTCACCAACCCAAAGATTTCCTTCAGAATCCTTTAAACAAACAGCAGAATGACCAGCGTAAGCTCCACTGACCCACTTCTCTAGTGTCTCAAATCCACCCCACCGCCCACGAATTTTAGATAATGCTAGGAAATCTCCAGAGTGAATATCATCTACGCTAATATTTGTGACCCAAGGTTGAGGACGTTGATGAAAGGAAGCACCCATGTGCTTCTCGAGAAACCCAATATTGGAGTTCTCACCCCATCCAGTATTTGTAAACAGGGGAAAGACATCCCACAATGCTTGAAGGGTGCCTAGCATCCCTGCTTGCATGAGGAAAATAGAAACTCCCCTGTTTTTCACCTGATTGGGTAACATTAAAGACAAAATTAAACTCTTTTAAAAGGAAATTGGAATATCAAGTAATATATGAATTCTAGAAAGTGGCAACTTACATATTCAAACTCGGCTTTTCCTTGCCACTCTTTAAACTCAAGTGTATGCTCCCGAGACAGGAAATAGTAATCCCATGTGACAGTGTATGGAGTCGCAAAGACATAAATATCCATACATGTCCAACTATGAGCCTTATCAACCTGGATACAAACATGGATTCAATTTTAAACTATTTTAATAAAAGTATGAAAACTCTGATGAATGCCCCAGATTTTCTAAGCATAAGAACTCGGTATCTAATGAAAATGTAAGGTCACAAATAGCCTTAATTAGGTATTTTCTTTCCTACAGGGATCAACCAACCACAAGAGGTTCAAATTCATAAGTACAACATTAATGAAACCTATATTCTAGAAAATGAAGCCAAAATGATATGTTTTGGATCATAAAATCCACAGAACAATCAAAAGAAAGCCCAGAGAGGCTATAACTGGAAATGTAATTAACACCTTAATATCCAGCAGTCCTCTGATATTCTAAGGAAAAACAAACAGCAAGTAAATTCCACAACTCCAATACTACAAACCCAATTTCTGCTAAATCACCTAGAAACAAACTGAAAACAAACCCTCGTATAGCCCATCATAATCAAACTAGCCAATAAAATCTTCAAATTTATCGACAACTTTTGAACAGAAAATTAATCTGAGTATCCTGACGACCAAAACTTAAAAAAGTTACACAAACCCAGCTAAAAAACGAGCAGAAGAAATATGAGGTCACTGAAACAAGTTTAACATAATTTAATACCCATTACCCCACATACAGTTTATATTGTCTTTCTAGAAATCCAAGTATACATTGAATCATATAAACCACACTAGTTCATAGCTCCATCGACTAATTTTCAATAATTTTTTTACATAAAACAAATACATATTAAATGCAACAAAAAATAAATATTATCAAAATGAAAATATGATCAACAAAAAAATTGAAGATGGGACAGAGGGATTTCAAAGAGGATTCTTGGGATTCCTAAATTCGTATAAAAATTAAAGGTGGAAGGAAGAAAATTTAAGGTTTTATAATTGAAAAGAGATTATAGGTTTGATATTAAATTTTGATTTCCAGGAGGTTAATTGTTTGTTGATGGGTTTGTATGTGGGTGTTGGGGTTGACTATTTAGGAAGGATAAAGGGGATGGTGCACAGTTCGTTGTCCCCATTCTTTTCCAACATATGATTTGCTCCTCTTTGAAAAAATCAATTGAGCATAAAGCTTGGGCAAAGAGATAGAGAACACAAGAGGGAAACGAGAGAAGGAGGGGGAGAGAGAGAGAGGAGGAGAGGTTGGCTAGTGGTGAAGAGGGACTTGGGTTGGGAACTTGGGCGGGCCATAGGTGGTTGTTGGGGGTGAGTGGCTGTTTTTATTATTATTGTTTTTAATTTTTAATTTTATTTAGACTTAAGGGTGTTTTATAGAGAAGACTTAATGATGTTAAGTTGCAGTTTGATGTGTCATATTTTAAGTCGTTAAATTATTGCAACGATCAAGATTTAATGAAATGCAGATAAATACAAACTATCTAAATGCAGAGACTCGGAATCCATAATTTACCTTTCCATTCTTCATCCATATAAGTTACCGCTACATGCAAAGTTGTAACACCGTAAAACCCCCTAAAAGAAGGAGATATTGGACACTGGTTCACAATTGTACGAGCTACGAGTGGAAAGTCATGCCGAGTAGCCAAGAATAAGGGGGACTCCTTATTAAAATTAATCAAACAGCACAATCCAGGATCTTCAGCCATTAACAAATTCACCACCTCAACGTGACCGCATCTGGCAGCAACATGCAATGCTGTATCTTCTTCAAAATTAGTCATTCGAAGTAGTTTGTTAGCTTCACCATTAGTCGGTCCTCTTTCCTCGTCAGCTCCTTCAATATGCACAAGTTTCTTTGCGTGTTCAATGAGGAGCTTTACAATTTCATCACAGCCTACTCTCGCAGCGACGTGGAGAGGAGTGTTGCCCTTCTTATTGGGAGCCCAAAACGGCAAAGATGGATCATCTAGGACATCTCTGAAGAAATGTATTTGTTTGTATTCAGCTGCAATATGAAAAATACTGTTGTGAGCTGGGGTTTTCTGACAGAGAAGATCAATTGATGCATCAGCTCTTCTGAAAAAACCAACATCACCCGATTCTGCAGCCTCATACACAGAAGGATCCATGGCTTATTTTCTCACAAGCTTTCTCAAGGTAGTTGTGTACTTGATTAGCTAGCACCAAAGGAATTGTATGAACACTATGTTTAAAGACCCCTTCATTATATATAGGAGGAGATCGACAAGTAAACCATAATCTAATATGACTTATTTTATTATTACTTTTATAATGGACAAAAATGACTTTTTTATATTTTAGCAAAGCTAATTAAATGATGCGGAAAGTTCCATAGGGTAATTTAATGGAAGCTACACCTTAGTGCTTGCCTTCATCTTTGGAAGGAGATACTCCTCTTTCCGGTTTGACACATGTGCAAAAATAATTTATCAAAAATACAAAAAAAAAAATTCTACACATATGTCATACGACCAGGAATGTAAGAATTCCTATATATTAAGGTCCAACATACTTTATATTATATAAAGATTATTGAGAAATAAGTGTATCAGTATCAGTAACTTAATAATGCTAGAGCAGATGCTAAGTTCGAAACTTTCCTCACCCATTGATAAAAATAAAATTATAACTGTCTCATTGTAATTATTTGCAATTGTATACCAATAAATAATATGGCTTATTAAACTAAGAACTTTGAAAGCGTGCACAAAACTTTGTTATTTGTCAAAAAGATGATACCTTTCGATCTGTCTTTAGGACAATGGAACAAACAGAAAAGTAGTGTGTTAGTTGATTATATATCTATTTAGTTCAGGCCTTGAAGACTAACTTAAAGGGAGACTTCCAGTCAGTTTCTTCTCTTCTTCATATCGCTTTTCCCTCGAGGAGAGGACATCATCTTCTTGGCAATTTCTGGTCAGACTATATTTACCATACTTTAGGACCACAATGTGAAAAGTATTACAACCAACCTCCAAATCACTGTAGCATCATTATTGGTTCAAATTATATTATGAACTTTTATTTTTTAAACAGAAATCTAGGATTCAAATCTGAGACTTTTATTCTAATATTTGCAGGAAGTTAAGGTTTCACTCCAAAATCGATTCGTCAGGGGGAGTAGTCCAACTCCTTATAAGTCCTTGATAGGTTTCTCAACTTTCTAATGTAGGACTTTTTACCTTCACACACACACCTCTACCCATGTAGCGAATTTTCAAGCCTAACACTTGGACAACACATATTGGGTGACGTGGAGTACGTGTAGTCGTTGGGCTTTCACATGTAGGCAACCTACTCTAATATCATGACGGAAGTTGAGATTCCACCAAAAACCAATTGGCCATGTGGGGAGTAGTCCAACTCCTTATAAGCCCTTGATAAATTCCTCAACTTTCCAATGTATAACTTTTACCTTCACATTCTCACAATATCGTAACTAAGAGCTAGTTGGTCCCAAGTTATATCATATATAGGTCATGTTCAAACAATGTTGTTAACACAAATGTAACACCTTTGAGGCCATTAAATCAAAGCACTTTTCAAGATATGAGTTATTGGTTACTCTTAGTAAAAGAATTTAATATAAGATCGGAAATAACATAATCTCTACCAATTTTCTTTGTCTTTTCTCTGTTTTAATTTTCTTGGTCTCCTTTACATTGCATACTGCAAGCCTCGATATGTAAATACTGTAAGAATCCATGGGTAGAACTTGCCCCTAAAAACCGACTTGTAAGAAAAGGGCGCCCATAAGCTCTTAAACCTCTCTGTGATATACTAGTTTTCCAATGTGGGATCTTGAGTCTTAACATGTTCATCCAACAAATGTTACATTAAATTTTATGAAAAATAATATTTGGGATACTTGGCTCAGTTGAATGTTCATCTGCATACATACACTTGGATATCATATTATACACTTGGATATCATATTTCCTGGACAATCTAGAATCATGTGTCCCCACTCAATAAACAAGCAAAGCTCACCTGAATGATTGAACAAGGTTTATCTGTTCTGTTCAAACCATTTTGAGGAATCTAGTTTAACAGAGTTTCAGGTCCCATATATTTGTAGCACCTTACAATCAGTGCTATTGAGAAATCATACTTTCAAGTTTCCCCTTGATTCACATCATAATTCACAAGTTTGGATTGAGTTCTGTTAACGCAGCTTTCCTTTCCTAGCCTACACGGAAGTCAATTTCACAATCTCCTCCTAACAATTAGCCTTTCCTGCTATAAATCGGATTTCCTGCTGTAAATCGGATTGTATTCATGTCTATATTATTTCCTACCTTAAGTAGATATCCTGTACTAGTATAAATAGAGACTTTGTGTAATCTGTCAAATACAAGGAAATATATTCTTTACAAGTTCACTCAACCTTTCTATTTCATGAAACTGTAGGCTATAGTTTAGCTAGATTAAAACCTTTCAATTGGAACTCCTAACATATGTTTCAATTTCCTGAAACTAAAACCACTTTATTTTGGTTGCAGCGCTCTCATGACTGGATTTTACCTGTACAAAATTGCAACTCTAGATACTGTACTATCAGGTTGTGTGTATAAAATGAAATATATAACTTGTTTCTGAAAGTGGTTCGAATCTTGTTTCATACCTTGAATTCATTGTTTACTGTGTACTTTTAATCAAATCCACGGAAGCGCAGGACCGACCCTTCAAAGTTCTAGATTTATGTCATGAAACATAAATTAGATCCGTAGATTTACAGTCTGACAATATATATAATATGTAATTATGCACTGATCATGTACCTGATTATCAGAGTCGCTGAAGCAAATGCCACTGCAGGGTTTAAAAGAAGGGGGCACACGTGTTAGAAAGGAATCTTTTGCTTTGTTTTCTTTGTTTAACTAAAAATTTCTTTGTTACTGGTGGGCAGGGACGGATCCAGGAATTGCAAATCGGGTGGGGTAAATTTACCTTAAGTACAAATGTATTAACAAAAATTAGTGAGTTTTGTGGATTTTGGTTGGTTTTTGTAGATTTTTAGGGTTGGATAATAGATTTTAGGAACTAAAAACTAGAGTTAACCCCACATGGGGTGGCTAAATTTTTTTGAGGTAAATCATAAGCCCTAGTTTGTTATATTTTTATTTTATATAAGCACTCTTTTTTCAGTATATTTTCTTCGTATTTAGAACTTTTTGTTATTATACGACATTTGAAATAGAGAAAATGTTAGAATTATTGATAATATTTTTGAAATATTTGGAAGGGATTGAAGGGAAACAAAGAAAGAAAAGGAAAAAATATATATTTATAAGGAGTTGAAGTTAAAAAGAAAGTAATAATAAAATAAAAATATCCCATTTTGTGGGGAGGGAACCTAACAAAATAAAAACACATCTCATCCCAACACATATCTCCCCTGCTCTCTTTTTTGTTATATTTTCTTGTCTCTCTCTTTTTTTTATTCTTTTTTCCTCTCTCTCTCTCTCTCCCTCCCTCTCCCTCTTTCTTTATTCTTTTTCCTTCTCTCTCCATCTGCTCCATCTCTCTGTTCTTTTTTCTTGCAGCTTTGGGATGGGCTATCTCTATTAAGTTTTTTTTGTAAATCTTAAGAATACTGGTATTACAAATACAAAAAATATTCGTATGGGCTGGAGCCCAGACAGCCCACAACGTGGATCCGTCCCTGCTGGTGGAGGGAAAAGGCTTTCAGAGCATGTGAAGTAACCCCAGTTTCTCATCAAAGCAGCATTTAGATGCATAAGAAAGTTTCATTTGAATGGGACAGTCAACTGAGTCCTACACTTCTATTTCAGAAAATGGGTAAAATACTTAGTGAGCCTGAGTGTACCCTTTGTCCGTACTCTCTAGGGAATCAACCTCTCGGCTAACCCTAGATTCCCCAAGTAATATCTTCCAATGTAACGATGATACTACAAAAAAAAAGTGGCAACAGTCACCATTATTTGGTGACGGTTGTGGAGTGAATAAAGGCTTTAGTCACCAAATTTTTTTTTAAAAAAATGTGACTAAAAGCCTTTTTAGTCACCAAAAAAGTCAAAAATGTGACTAATAATGTCTTTTGTCACGGCCACAAATGTCACAGATAATGGTAACTGTTGCCAATTTTTTTAGTAGTGATTACAATTTAGTCTTGTAGAGTTTATTGGTCACAAAAACATTATCTAATTCCAGAATACAAAAAACAACCAAAAGTGAAATCAACAAGGCATCAATGTGATGTTTTCTAAGTACCTAGCAAAGATCAAGTCACCCTAATTTGTCTTGCACGTTTGGGGTTCAGAATCATGACAAAGATAATATGTGTCTTCATGCATTTGACATTTGTGACACATGAAACCTATGTATTTACAAACTAGGCGGAAATTGCCATGAAATGAAGTTTTTTTTATTAAACAAACCAAGTAGAAAACCATTCATTCCTCAATTTCACCGAATGGGTGGTGTGTACAAACAGCTAAACACAAACAGCTGAGGTACTATCGCTGCACTACCAAACAGCTGAAATTATATTCCAAGCCAAACTTGCCATCATGAACAGAGTTTTCACTGCACTATAAGAACCAGTACCGTGTTCTTCTCCATAATTGTGTTATGTATCGATTCTTTCTAGTTCTGCAAAACCAATGTGCTTCTGCATATTTTTTTTTTTTTTTTTTTTTTTTTTTTTTTTTTTTTTTTTTTTTTTTTTTTTTTTTTTTTTTTTTTTTTTTTTTTTTTTTTTTTTTTTTTTTTTTTTTTTTTTTTTTTTTTTTTTTTTTTTTTTTTTTTTTTTTTTTTTTTTTTTTTTTTTTTTTTTTTTTTTTTTTTTTTTTTTTTTTTTTTTTTTTTTTTTTTTTTTTTTTTTTTTTTTTTTTTTTTTTTTTTTTTTTTTTTTTTTTTTTTTTTTTTTTTTTTTTTTTTTTTTTTTTTTTTTTTTTTTTTTTTTTTTTTTTTTTTTTTTTTTTTTTTTTTTTTTTTTTTTTTTTTTTTTTTTTTTTTTTTTTTTTTTTTTTTTTTTTTTTTTTTTTTTTTTTTTTTTTTTTTTTTTTCCACACATACTCAAAACTCAAATTTGCACAAACCCAGTTCGAAAATGAAAGAAAAACAAGCCAACAGAACAAGAAATTTCAGTTCGTCTAGACCTTGATATGAAGAGTTCCGCCACCAAATTCGCTGCCACTCTTGTTGTGGAACTCCATCCAAGCTGTGTTCTGGTAAAAGCACGCACCTTTCCACTCCAAACTGTCGTTTGGGGACGAAGCTGAGCCCACGAAAGTGGGCAAGAGATCTACCGCACCGTGCAGAGAGTTGAGGATTGGCCATGAAACCTGTCTGGGCAAGAGTGGGAGGACGTCCCGGGGGTGAAATGGTAATTTGGCGGAATATGCGAAGAGCAAAGTGAGGGTGATTACGGCGGCCGCAAAGAGTAAAGAGGGAGAGGAAGCCATAGCTCTCTCTGTGCGCAGGTGAGAGAGAGAGGGAGAGAGCCCTCGGGTAGTTGAACCCGTTTTGTTAGACAGATAAAAAACGTTCTTTCTTTAACTTATTAGTGCCTCTCTCTCACAATTCCAACGAGGAAAGGAAACTTTTTCTTTTTCCTGTTTCATTTTTCTTTTTCCCTCTCTTTTGGAACGTGGAAATGTGTACGACATACACATGTATATCTATCTATCACGATTCGACCAAAAAAAACAAAATATATCTATCAGGCTCTTATCTTATTCGATATATTCAGTTGGAAAATAAGAATCCTTTTGAATATTAATTATATTAATTAACTATAAGTTGAGATTTTTAATTAGTCATTTAACAAATACATCATATATTGACATGTGTGTATATATTTTTCTTTTCGTGTTTTTGATGAATTACTTTTGCATATGAGTCAATCTGTAATTTGTTGGAAGTAGAAATGTCTCCTTCCAAAGAATGAGAGAAGCAATGTCCAGTGGAGAATGCTAGCAACCTTATCTCTCGCCTTCTCTTTTTAGTCATTTTCTCTTCTATTCTCTCTCTCACTTAAAACATTGTTTTTCATTTAAAAAGAAAACGTTAATTATATTTTCATATTTGCCCTTGTCAGTATATGAAATTTAACATATTTTTTTGCTTGCCTTCCTGTTTGTAAGTGTTTTATCTTTTGGGCCCCCTCTGAGCCTTTTGCCTTGAGTTGTTATGAACGTTTAAAAATAACATCGTGACCATTTACAATAGTAACTAGGCTCATCAAGGTGAAGGGGACAGCATGGTGGCAGCAATGGTGCCATTACTGCATGCTGCCAGTGTGGATATAGTGCTTGAATCAGTAGAAGACGGTGGCTCCACGATGTGCTAATTGAGTTCTCTCAACTGGTTGATGTGTCTGGAAAACTGGTTTTTTTAGCAGTTTGAATGTGCAAGAACTTCAGCATATTGTTGAACTCTGTGCAGTAAATATGTGGTACGATTCTCCCTTTATTTTTGTCTAATGTAACATATATAGTTCCCCCTTTATGTTGTTCTTGGCAGTATGTCTTTCTGGCTATGCATTCAGAATCGAAGGATTAGATCATACAGAACTCTGGTTAAAAGTTCCTGGCCCCAATGGCTACTGAACGTTTCTTTTAAACATATTGGCACATCTCTGGGTGTGGCACTGCCTCATTTGATTTTACCAACTTCTTCGGTCTACTGGCAACACATGCAGAGAACGTAATATGGTATCATTCCTACCACATATCTAAGCGCACCCGATCATCTTCGATAGGGTTCCTCTTTTGTAGCCTGCTGGGTGTTGGAGAAGACTAATTAAACCATTGGCATTAAGAACTATGACCTGAATTGGTGAGTACCAGACCTGTGTGACTTGGATGAGATGAGTGATTAGCGGTCTGCAAGAGCAAACTGATATGCCAATGCTATATTTGACAAGCTACACTACCAAAATACTACATTTGGAACTTTACCTTCCAATGTCGGAACTTTACCTACCAAAATACTATTTTTTGGGGCCACCCGAAATTCGTTGCAACTCCTTATAGTTGTACCTTAACAAGATTAATAAACTCTTGATCTCTCGTTGCCTTGTTTGTACTCTTGAATGCCTATTGTTGCAGATTGCTATATATCTTAATTACTTCTGAATGCATTCCCAAATTTTCCTTATTGTTTATTGTCTTCTCCTTTCCTAATCTGTGAAGAGAATACGCACTGAGAGAGATGAGAGAAGAAAAAAATGAAAAATTGACAACAAACAATGGATGAAAGCTCTGAAGTACTCACAAACAAAATTTTGACATAAAAACTTTTCAAGATATAGCATTGGCATTTGTATTTGAGAATTTTTCTTTTAGAATTGAGTACCAAACCTGACCGCACTTAAGCATCTGCAAACTTTTCACTTCTATCCCTGCACTTGGGAGTCTTGTTCTTGATCTCTCTTTCCCACCCGGTATAAAATAAGGACATTAATGTGCTGTGTAGACAATCTTCCCACCAGACTTGTCCTGCACTGCACAGACACTAGTATCTCCATGAGCTAATAATTTCCTAACACCAAAAATCAAAACCAAATCCAGATAAATGGAGCTGGCTGAGTTAAGTTCAAACCTCAAGGTGGAAGCAAACATTGTCCATGTCAAGAGTTGGCACTCCCAAACACTTGATCCTCACAGCTTCTGCCCGCTTCCAATGGTTGTGGATATCATCTAACATGTTATGAGTAACTCCTCCCTTTCCTGATACAAAATTAAATCATTTAGTCCCTTCTCATAAAAATGACTGCAAAATCAAACCAACTTTCAAGCCTAACAACAATAATAAAATCCAATACAACATATTTAAAATTCCAAAACCATATAAACCAAAATCTCATAACCTCATTAACCCAAAATAAACCAATTTCCAATCAAATCACATTTATGCAAGCAATTCCACATATGAAAAACAATTATTATTTAAAAACAAATCTCCACTCACAACAAGTCCAACACTGCTCAATCCTGAAAGGGTCCCTTCTGAGGAGTACACGGAGCCTGGATACCTATTTGAGATAATAAGCGGATTTAATCAATAAAAGTGTCCAACCACGATCTTTAACTCAAAATCCTAATTCCCGGGACTCAAATTGTGTGCACAACTTTTAAGGTTTATAGGGTCATTCTAGTACTTTTCGAAGGATGAGACGGTCTCGGAAGACTCATGGTCAACCGAGCAGTCAAACTTTTCATATTGGTCAACTGGGCCCATGGGGCCCACGACCTCCGATTTAAGAATGGTTAACCCTTTTTTTTTGCCGTTAATTTTTCTTGACATTATTTTTGTTTCAACATTCGTGATTTAATGTTCTGAACATTTTAACTTAAAAAAATCCAAAATCCAAAACATTTTATAATTTCACTTAAAAATAAAAACAAGGACAACAACATTTTATTTCATAAACTCTAAAAGTATAAACAAGTGTCACACGACTTATATAAAAACAAATGGAACAACATGACTTATTTGGTTAGTTGCAATGTGGTCACAACATCTACATCTTCCCAATCTACAACCCTTGGAGCTACTACTTTTGTGCATGCCCGAAATAATTCGAACCCTTCATTGAAGCCATCACCATGACTGTCTTCCCTTTTTTCTTTATATTTTTCTGGCTTTAAATGAATTGTCTCATTGTCATGCTTACGAACTATAGATTTCCATTTGATGATCTTGGCATTGGACTTTGGATATAGCTTCTAGGCTCTGATTTCTGAACTTTAAGTGAAGTCAAACTCTAGGAACACTTGCTCAATGCATTTCTTGACTATTACATGAAGGGGAGGTGGTTTGCACCTAGGATGGGGGCATCCTCAATCAAATGTATGATGCTACCTTCAATTGTTAGATTCCATTGGTGTGGTTGTTTAGGTTGCATATGGAGATAAATATTTATGGGCAAATGGATGGGTATATTGGTTTTTTTACTTTTACTTTTACTTCATTGGATTCCTTTATCCTCCTTCAATAATGCTCTCAACCCATGCTCACCTCCCTTTGTCTTCTTCAATTATTTTCTATACCATTTCTCATCTCTTATTGTCTTGTTTCAATTATGTTCTAAACCATTGTTCATCTTTGTCTATCTCATTTTATTGGATTCCCTTAGCTTTCCTTATATTTTCTAATCGTCCTTCAATTATGATCAGACATGTAGGCCATTACGTTTTTTCATCAAGACATTATTTCCTCTCTTCCTCCTTATGCCTTTGTATCTTATCCTATTTTCAACCGTTAGATTTGCATCCAAAAAATTCCCAACCTTCGATCGAATAACTGTTGGAGTTGATTCAAAAAAAGAAAAAGAACCAGCAGTTCAAAATGAACAGGTGGATTGCAACGGTCGCAAGAGGAGAGTGCGACACGTGTCCCAGGCAAGAAGATGCTGAAATTTGACGCCAGCTGACTGCGAGTTCCACCATCACATGGGTATTTTGCAACTTTCTTTTGGGCTGCTGCGTTTTGTAGATGTGCTCCACGAAATTTGGATCCATTCCATGCAATAAAAGGGGCACTATTCCGCCCCAGCCTTTGCCTGAATTGGTTTTATTGCCCTTTTGTATACATGGTTGGAGAATGATTTTGGTCTAAAATGTCAAATTTTAGGTTTAGCCCACTCTCATTGGAGACGGCCTTAGGATCTGATTCAATCCGATTCATTTTGTATTGGATTGATTGGACTAAATCGGTTTTAGTTTCGTCAAATGACTTGAATTATTTATAATTTCCTCAATTTCAAATGTGAAAATGTACAAAACCAACTATGTTGAATTGCATTAGATTCAGTTTTAGAATTTTAGAATCCAGTTCGATCCGCCATACCATCAAAAAATTGACCAAAATTGAATTGAATCGGTTGATGTAGACGAATTGGATTGGATGTTGGACACCCCTAACTATAGGCCAAAATTCAACTTTATCCCGTCTACATCTCTGTTTTTTAACATTCATAAATTGGCCTGATAGTGAGTTGGCGACACCCCTTTTGTTATTAACGTCTATCTAAATTTTCTTGATACAATCTGAGCTCAAAATTCAAATGATGACAAGGTCATCCGTCTTCATGTATTTGACAGTTATGATGCCTGACATCTCTCTTGACAAACCTAAATTTGCAGTCTGATTAAACAAACGAAACAATGATCGAATGATTCCCCTGAACTTGGGCCACCTTACTCGACTCGGCACTTGTCTTTTGTTTTGTCAAATGTTACACACCCAAAACCCAAAAAAAAAAAAAAAAAAAAAAAAAAAAAAAAAAAAAAAACATTTTATTTATTTTTAAAAACATACATAAAAAACAGTGGTTGCAGTTTGCATTATCACAACTTACAAGTCATACTAGCATCTTTAATAGAGTAGCATGGCCGAACCAGCAATTTGTGAGATAAGCTAGAGTGAGAGATAAAACTGAGAGATTCATGTGAACATAAAAAAACTAATATGTTGTTCCCAACTCCTATCTGAGACTAGGGAACACTTCAATCAATTTGGAATGACATTATTAAAGAATAAGAAAAAAAATACATTGTGGAAAAGAAAGACATGCATTACAATTCATATTCCTTTTATCATGTACATTGTACAACAATGGAACGCTAACACTGCCCTCCTTTCGTACCTGACCACCAAACATATTTACAGCTTCGCCATCTTTCATTCATTTGTATCCAACAACAGAACTACACTAAAAGCAGAAGAAACTGGTATGGCATCAACCATAGGCCTAACAACTTTGGAAGAGCAACGAATTGAGGACTTAGCAATTCCGTGACCTGGAGTACTTTTGGGGCAGTGATTCGCACCTTTCATTCATATGGGAGTATGGTTCCACACTGTTGTATTCAGGTAGTTCCATTCGATACTTCCCTTTAATCTGACAGAAAGGAAGCTTCACGGTGTCCCCGTCATTGCACCACTTTGGCAGGCGGCATGAATTATTTTCAAAGAATTTCAGCATGTAAGCATCTTTTATCTGCATTTATGGCAAATAAAGTTAAATACATGAGAACGAACATATAAACTCCTTACGAAACAACTAATTTGCATAGCACCCCAATGGATGACGTTTTGAATGGGAAGCTACATGAACCTCAACAATCTAATTCCTTTCCTTTTTCAAATGTCACTAAACTTTCTATTATTTAAAATTAAAAAGGCTCAACTATAATATTATATCAATTCTTATTGAAAAGGGAATAAAAGAGGTCAGTCATCATTGATCTTGTATCTCCCTAGAACTAGCATCAACTCAGCCCCGTTTATTCTAAAGCAAACAGATATTGAATTTTGTTCTGGATAAACTCACCGTAAATCTCAGTGACATGGATAGAGCTAGCAATTGGATCAAACAGTCCTGCCTGTTTATACATTTCAAGAATGAAGGCCACACTCGATGTTGACTTCCCATCACTGTATAGCCAATAATCCTGTTCGGGAAGTGTCAACAGTTCGTCAAAAGATGATCCTCTCTTTTCAACTTCAACTAGAATATCTGGAAGACTAAGGTTCTGCATGAAATACAAAGGGTACATCAGAAACTCAGAACGATAAAAATGGCACAATGAATTTCAAAGATGATATTGACTAATTGCTTAACTTCTAACCAAAAGTAAAAATCTTGATTGGTTGATATTTCTAACTGAAGGAATGCTGATTTATCATTTACTCCAAAAATCTGATGCCCTTGTGGCAATAAAACATATTTTTTAAAGAGAGAGTTCCATGATAGCCACAGGATTGCAATGCAAGGAAAACGTTTCACAATACCTGTGTTCCAAGTCTCTTGTTCAAGGCTTCATTCCACATGTTCGCAGCATATGCAGGCTGTATGTTATTCCAAACTGTCATAACAGAAGCAACCTACATAACCATAGAGCTAAGAATAAGGACCAATGAATAAGAAAACCTCTTCAAGCTCATAGAAGCATTCACACACAAGACATGTCTGAGAGAGGGAGATAGCAGGAATTAACTATATTCTCTTAGTTGGCTAACCAATCTAACTATGAAACTAAAGAAAGCATTTCTTTCTATCTTCTTTTCCAGTCGTAAACATCCACTGATCATCATCCATTGTGGACCCTTTTAGGCCACTACGAAGCAATCATGTATTAGCTGCATGGCACCTTATGCATAATGCATATTATTAGTTTTCCTAATTCTACTTGGATTAGTTTTCCTAATTCAGTTAAGGATTCCTTCTTGTTGAAGGATCTCTTATTAGTTAATTTGCTTTCCTATTTCTTAAAGTTTACTTTTCCTTTTCCTAGGCTAAAAAGGGTTTTGCCTCTATAAATAGAGCTGTTTGTAATCTTTTAAGGGAGGCTTGATGAATGATAAATTTCCTCACTTTAAACTCTCTGATTCCTTCCCTTTCCCTTCGTCTCTACGATCTCTATTTCTTCACCTCGATCTCTTATTTCTTCTCTGTTCTATTGCTTAAGTGTTTACTCTAATACCTACTGGCTGTTCTACATCAGCACCTTGATTCAAATTAATCTGTACCCACACGTTTATAAAGTGGTTGTTTGAAAGCCAGAAGTTATAAACCATAAAGAAAATAATTGAGGGTAAAGCACCTAACAGGTAGTTTTTTAAGTCCTCTATAGATAGTTTTTTAAGTCCTCTATAGAACCCAGGCCTCAATCCAAACAGGTAATGGAAACCACCAAGTTCAATACTAAATCATCATACCAAAAGAAAAAAATTAGGAAATTAATTTAGATTTACTAATACTGTAAACAGTCTGATATAGAAATCTTAAATGTACTAATAACATGATACCATGTGAGCATCCACAGGGGGTGGATAGTTGTCTTTTATAGTATCTATCCAGCTGAATATCACGTTATGATAACCAAATGATTGGCCTTCCATGCTCCTTGCATACTCCCAGGCAGCAGTCTCACTAAACTTTGCTCGTATATCAGGATGCAAGGGAAGCAACGCAATATGGGGATTGGAATCATCTTTATTCAGCTCAAACTCCCACCACTCATCCCATGGCAGCACAGCAATGATACTTTCTCCCTAGAACACGAAAGGAAAAAAGCACAACATATTTTATTAAATACAAAGGCATATACAAATAAAGACATACATATATATACATAATAACATATATATATATATATATATATATAGAGAGAGAGAGAGAGAGAGAGAGAGAGAGAGAGAAAGAGAGAGAGAA